AACCTCTGCAAACGTTTGTGTGCCCAAGGTTGTGTACACATAGTCCTCGCCTTACGACCTTTTTTTTTCGTAACTCATTTGAAGTTACAATGCCACTGGGGAAAATGTGACTTACGGCCAGTCCTCACACTTGTGACCATGGCAGCACCCCAGGGTCACGTGATCGCCATTTCCTAGCTGCCCTCGGACGAGCAAAACCGGGAAAGGAAGCTGGGGTTCACTTAACAACCACGAGCAGCGTTTCGCTTAGTAAAGGGGGGGGGGAAAGATCAGAAAAAATAAAACTGGGCCCCACTCACTTCACTACCGCCCTAATTAGCAACACAAATTATGGTCCCAATTGTCATACGTTGAGGACTACCTAACCTGGCTCAAAAACAACAACTGTGAGAGGGACCTCGAAGTCCTAGTGGACGATCATTTAAACGGGAGCCAGCCGTGTGCGTCAGCAGCCAAAAAAGCCAACACAGTGCGAGGCTTGCATCAACCGAGGCATGGAATCAAGATCACGTGACTTATTAGTACCGCTTTATAAAGCCCCAGCAAGGCCACACCTGGATACGGCAGCCAATTTTGGTCACCCCGTTACAAAAAAGAGGTTGAGAGTTTGGAAAAAGTTCAGAGAAGAGCAGCTAAGATGATCCAAGGCCTGGAGACTAAAAGATAATGAAGAATGGCTGCAGGATTTGAGTATGGCCAGTCTAGAGAAAAGGAGAAATAGGGGTGACATGACAGCAGTCTTCCAGTATTTGAGGAGCTGATAAAAAGAGGAGGGGGTCAACCTATTCTCCAAAGCACCAGAGGGTAGGACAAGAAACAATGGTTGGAACTGATCAAGGAGAGAAGCAACCTGGAATTAAGGAGAAACTTCATGACAGCGAGGACAATTAACCAGTGGAACAGCTTGCCACCAGAAATCGTGGGCGCTCCATCGCTGGAGGTTTTTAAGAAGAGACTGGACAGTCACTTGTCTGAGATGGTATAGGTTCTCCTGCTTGAGCAGGGGGCTGGACTAGAAGACCTCTCTGATTGATTTTCTTTTTTGCTTTCAAGTTTTGCTTATTAGCCACGAGATTAACTGTGATTTTGAGCTTGGTCTCCTTGTAATATCTGGGTTATTCAGATATTGGCCAGAAAGCATGCAATTCATGCTCTGACCCACATTAAGCCAGCTTTCCTTCTCACGCTGCACTGAAGAATCTACAGTTGGCTAGGAGCACAGACCAGGCTTAGCCAAAATGAAGCCAATCACCTGGTCTGCTAGGTGCCTGCCGCACAGCCCACAACAGTGTTGCTGGTGGGTGTCTGGAGAAGGCGATGAGGCTGCCCAGTAACTGAGCGTTGGGCAGTTAATCAATAAAGAAAGGTAAATAGATTCTGGCTGGACCTTGCTGGTTACGTTCACCTGGGCTATTTGGAAGGGAAGGGGGTTGGTGTCAAGGTTGGTGTTAAAGATTTAAAAAATAATGGAGTTTTTAAAAGCATTCCCCTAACCCAGTACTGTGTGAATTTGAGGATTGGGGGAGGATAGTGACCCCTCTTATGCTCCCTGACAGCGTTCCCTTTTTTAATCCTTTGGTCTTCAACTGTAGTGTAAAAACAGGCCAAGGTTCGGCCCAGACCTTGGTGGCATCCATCTTGACTTTTTTGACCCTCCCGGCAGACGCTGCTGGTTTAATGATCCTGCAACAAAGGACGATGTAGCTACGAGGTCCCGAGGAACTGACGCTTGAGAAGACACCAGGATACCCAATGTGGGCAACTTTTTAAGACTTGTGGACTTCAATCCCCAGAATTCTGGGCGTTGAAATCCACAAGTCTTAAAAGGTTGCTCAAGATGGACACCCCTGCTTCACGTTAAGCCGCCATGCACGCAACGTTTTAAGTCGTGCCAACATTTTAAAAATAAAGCCCGTGCTGCATGTGTTCCAATATCTCAGGGGCTGCCCCAAAGAAGAGGGAGTCAATCTATTCTCCAAGGCGCCTGAAGGCAGGACAAGAAGCAAAAGATGGAAACTAAGCAAGGAGAGAAGCAACCTAGAACTAAGAAGAAACTTCCTGACTGTTAGAACAATTAACCAGTGGAACCACCTGCCTCCAGAAGCGGTGAATGCTCCAAAACTGGAAGTTTTTAAGAAGAGACTGGACAGCCATTTGTCCGAAACGGTATAGGGTTACCTGCCTGAGCAGGAGGTTGGACTTGATGATCTCCAAGGTCCCTTCCAACTTTACTATTATTATTATTATTATATTATTTTGGAAAGTAATCCAGCTGATTGCCGAATGTATCCCTTTGCAAAGCTGATCTGGGATTCCGTTGTATCTGAGGCTTCGGATCAGGACCGAAAGGAAGCTCCGCGGCAAAAAGATCATTTCTCAGCCAGCCCCCCCCCCCAGATTTTTTTTCACAGAGGGAGAATAGATCCTAAGGAAGCTCATTGGCTGGATCAGACACACTACCCCAAAGGCAGGGCTGCCTGACCAGGCCGACATTTGCTTGCAGAAAACAAGAATTTTTGTAGCTACGATTCCGGGACGAACGCTCATTGCCTCGGTTTTAAGGGGCGATGTGGGTCAGGCTACAATTTTAATCCTCCCATTCTCTTTTTTGGGCAGCAGAGACAAAGAGGGGCAGGATAGATTTTTGGAACGGGGAAGGAAATCTTTGCAAAAAACAGGATATATGAGAAGGAAGTGCTAAAGGCTGTATTTGTTTAGGCAATCTGTCAGCTCACTCTGTTTTGCAAAACTTCTGCCGGGAAATCCAGGTAGAGATGGAAGAGGAAAAAAAAAAGAGGCTGTTTTGGTGCCATTTCTAAGCCCCCCCCCTCCCAAAAGGGTAAGCAGGCCCTCCGTTCTTACTCCTCTGTTGCATACACCACCACCCCAAAAAAACAAGCCTCAGTCTCTGAACCCAGATCAGCCACTCTTCTGGGTCACAGAGATCATGATTTAGAAACCTGAAGATCATGATTTAGAAACCTGAAGCTTTACAGACTCCAGGTTCCTGACCCTCAAAATGGCGAATCTTGTCCAGCTCCGGCACAATAAAGCCAAGTTTGATAGAAGGGCTGTGTGATGCCTGGGTCAGCACGCCCTCCTCACCTGGAGGTTTTGTCTAGGGCAGCGGTTCTCAACCTGTGGGTCAGGACCCCATTTGGGGTCGAACGACCATTTCACGGGGGTCGCCAAACAACGCAGTCCGCCATTTTTCCCCCTTTTCCTTAGCTGTGCTACTCCCTTTTATTCTATTGGCTTTTGAAAGCCCATGGAATAGACTCTCTTGAATAGAGTCTAATTCTATTGGCTTTCCAAAGCCAATAGGAATTGTCCAGGCTGTCTCTGCCCTGCTGAGCCTGCCAAAAGTCCCATTCTGCAAACGGTGCTGCACCAGTTGAGTAGACCTCGACTTACGACCGGTTGAGTAGTCCTCAACTTATGACCAGTTGGGGGTTGCGGCATTAAAAAGGTTGAGAACCACTGGTCTAGGGTGTGATCTCTCTCTCTCTCTGTGTATACGCTTGTGTGCCTGCTGAACCCTGGGCGTGGCAGGCATTGCAGGGCAGGATCGGCTGAGTTCCTTGTGCACAAAGTTCAGCATGCTTAGTGCTCGGACAGGAGACCACCAGGAAATCCCAGGGACGGGCAAGATGGGAATGTCGTGCCCCTTCCAGACCACTATTCTGTACGTGCGCATGGGCGTGCTGTACCTTGGGAGTACTATGCCCTGTAGAAAGTCAGCACCTACCCACCCTCCTAGAGAAATAAATAACCGTATTTTCCGGCGTATTAGACGACTCGGCGTATAAGACGACCCCCGACTTCGGAGACGATTTGCATGCTTTAGAAAGTTGCCTTATACGCCGGAAAATACGGTATTTGGGGGGATATTTAAAAAAAGACAGAATATTATATTTCCCCAAGGGGATAATGAAGCAAAAGGCCGAAACCAGCCCTTGCCCCAAGCAGAAACTCACCCCATTCATAAGCAAAAGGCCTTCAGCATCCACATTTGCTGGGATTAAGAATTTGCATTTCCCCCACCCAAAATCTAAGAACAGGATATAATAGGATTAATCCTACACCCTCTTCAGACCAAAAGGCACAAAAGCCCACCTTATTGCACAACCCACAGACACTTCTACTTCCAAGAGCCCTATTAAGAGCCATCCACTTGCAACTCCACTCGGTCAGCCGTCCCATGCAGCTGGCAGTTCTGCTCATCCATAAACTGGACCCTTCTGTCTAAGCGGCCTCCAATTTTCATTTCCAGCCGCGTAGCCTCCATTTCATTTACTCGCAGCATGGAACTGGACCCGATGATTTTCCTTTCTACAGCCCCAGTGACACAAGGACCGCGTGGCAGGGTTGGCTGGGCTTCCCTGCTGCACGGAAGCTCAGGCTGCTTAGTGCTTGGACAGGAGACCACCAGGAAATCCCAGGCACAGACAGACAAGATGGGAATGCCACCTTGTTTCCAGAGCGAATGCGTTCTTGTATGTGCTTCTCCATTCCATTCCTTTTATTCTCCTGTTCTGTTCTGTTCTGTTCTTCTATCCCATCCCATCCTTTTTATTCTGTATTCCATTCCATTCTTTTTATTCTCTTTATTCTGTATTCTATTCCATTCCATTCCTTTTATTATTCTATTCTATTCCATTTCTTATTCTATTCTATTCCATTCTATTCTATATTTCTCCTATTCTATTCTATTCTATTCTATTCTATTCTATTCTATTCTTTTTATTATTCTATTCCATTTCTTATTCTATTCTATTCCATTCATATTTCTATTCTATTCTATTCTATTCCATATTCTATTCCATTCTATATATTCTATTCCATTCCATTCCTTTTATTATTCTATTCTATTCTATTCCATTTCTTATTCTATTCTATTCTATTTCTTATTCTATTCTATTCCATATTCTATTCCATTCCATTCCATATATTCTATTCTATTCCATTCTTATTCTTCTATATTTATTCTATTCTACTTTATTCTGCATTCTATTCTGTTCTATTTCTATTCTATTCTATCCTATCGCCTGCCCTATCCTATCCTATCCTCCAATATCTCTTCTCATGTTGACGTGCCACCTCTCCTTTCCAAGCCAGCGCGGGCACAGACCTTCCCCAACCCGTCGCCCACCCAGGGCTATATTCCCCTGCCGGCTCAGGATGATGGGCTCCCTGCCCGTCAACCGCAGCAACAGCATCAGCAGCCGCGCTAGCTGGGCCTCGCTCCTTCCCCCGGAGGCGGCGCCTGCCGCGGGGGTAGAAAAGCGCCGGGCGGCGGCGGAGGGCAAAGGGGCAGCGGCGGCGGCCATGGACCCGGAGGCGCCGCGGGAGCTGCGGGCGCTGCTGGCGCGGGCGGGCGGGCGGCAGCCGCTGCTGCTGGCGGGCGAGGCGCGGCCGGCCGAGCTGGAGACCTTCGCCCGCGACCTCTTGGCCGAGGCGCCGCCGCCGCCGGAGCCCCCGGAGAGCCCAGAAGCGCCGGGCTGGCAGCAGCGGCGGGCGCGGGTGCGCGGCGGCGGCGACGGGCTGCCTTCCTGGCGGGGCTGCGCGCTGCTCCTGGCGCTTTTCCGCGCCGCCTCGCTGGAGCCGCCGCGCTGGGCTCGGGAGAGGCGCCGCCTGCGCGAGATCCTCCGCGACCTGCGCGCCCAGCTGCCCTCCGCGCCGCCGCCGGCCGTGGTCGGCGTGGTGCTGCTGCTGCCGCCGGCGGCGGAGGAGGCGGCCGAGGGTGTGTCGGAGGAGGAGGAGGAGGCGGCGCGGCTGCAGCTGGAGGCGCTGCTGCGGAGGGTCTTCCGCGAGGGGCGGCGGCGCTTGCAGCCCGCCGGGCTGCCGGACACGCTGCAGGCGGTCACCTACCGGCCGGGGGACGCCCAGGCGGCCCGGGAAGCCGCTTGCCGGGCGCTGCGAGCCGCCCTGAAGCTGCGGGCAGGTACGGACGGGCGTGGGGAGCCGGGAGAGGAGGGGCGGCGCCCGCGGGCGCCCTCTTGCAAATGGCCCCTGGGAAGGGCGCGGAGGCGCCGCCGGAGCTGTGCGAGGAGCCCCGAAGGTGGAGAGGAGGGTTGTGTCTGTGTGTGTGTGTGTGTGTGTGTGTGTGTGTGTCAGTGTCAGAGTGTGTGTGTGAGAGAGGATGAGTGATAGAGAATGAGAGATAAAGAGAGAGACAATGAGAAAGACAGAAAGAGAAAAAAAAGGAAGAGGAAGAGTGATAGAGAATGAGAGCTAAAGAGAGAGACAATGAGAAGACAGAAAGAGAGAGAAAGAGAAAGAAAAAGAGGGAGAGTGAGGACAGAAAGAAAGAGAAAAAGAAAGGAAGAGTGGTAGAGAAAGATAGACACAATGAGAAAGAGAGAGAGGAAGAGAGTGTTAGAGAATGGGAGATAGAGACAGATTGAGAAGGACAAAGAAAGAGTAAGAAAAAGAGGAAGAGAATGATAGAATGAGAGATAAAGAGAGAGACAGTGAGAAGACAGAGGGAAAGAGAAAGAAAGAAGAGAGAGAGGAAGAGAGAATGAGATAAAGAGAGAGTGAGAAAGACAGAGAGAAAGAGAAAAAGAGGAAGAGTGATAAGAGAATGAAAGATAGAGAATGAGAAAGACAAAGAAAGAAAAAGAAAGAGGAAGAGAGTGAGAGTGATAGAGAATGAGAGATAGAGACAGAATGAGAAAGACAGAAAGAAAGAGAAAGAAAGAAAGAAAGAAAGAAAGAAAGAAAGAAAGAAAGAAAAAAAAAGAATGAAAGAGAGAGAGAGACAGACAGAATGAAAGAGAAATGAGCCCAGGTTGGGGGCAAAATTCCTTGACCCCACAAAGGTGCATTTTCACATACCCTGAGAATGCAGGTGGTCCAATTAACGTTCAGGATACAAGTTTAAACTTTTCCTTTTTTTTTTTTAATGTTACTTTCCTTTTTTTTTTAATGTTACTTGCAAGAAAAAGGACAGTCCTAATTAGGGGTGGAAAACCTTTAAAGGGCGGATCTTTGTGGAGTCATTCATAGGTTGGCTAGATGTGATGGGTCAAAATGTGCTTGGCTTGTTTTCAGTGTGGTGGTCATTAACCATGGTTAAGTAAGCCATGGATTAAGCATTAGCTAGCTGGGTGACTTTGGGCTGTGGCTGGGTGGGGAATTGTGAGAGTTGAAGTCCACACATCTAGGATAGGGAGTGACTTTAACATTTGTGGACTTCGACGCCCAGAATTCCCTAGCCAGCCACGACCTTAAGTCACCTGTGCTGGCTGAGGAATTCTGGGAGTCAAAGTCCTCAAGTCTTAAAGTCGCCAACTTTTCAGACCCTTGTTCTAGAGGCCAAGCCTGAGAAATGCTGTTTTTGAGGCTGCAAGATTCGCAGTCCCATAATCCACTGCACGCAGGGTGTCTATGACGCAATATGTCTGCTAAAATAAGACAGAGTAACTTCCTCATCACATTTGGATGAAGCCAAACTCAGGATTTGCACTGTAAACCCAGACAGAATGTTGTTTCTGTGATTTGGCTTATTGTGACTCTAGTAGGCCTAGGCCGCTTTATGACTCGTGGACTTCAACTCCCAGAATTCCTGAGCCAGCCATGCTGAGGGGAAAGGGAGAGGTTTCCAAGCTGAGCCATGCTGGCTGAGGAATTCTGGGAGTTGAAGTCCACAAGTCATGAAGGGGCCATAGTTCCCCCATGGTGGCTCAGGAATTCTGGGAGTTGAAGTCCACCAGTCATCAAAGAGCCAAGGTTGCCTACCTCTGGCCTAGGCCTAGGCTACTTTATGACTTGTGGACTTCAACTCCCAGAATTCCTGAGGCAGCCATGCTGAGGGGAAAGGGAGAGGTTTCCAAGCTGAGCCATGCTGGCTCAGGAATTCTGGGAGTTATGGTCCAGGAGTCACGAAGGGGCCATTGTTCCACCATGCTGGCTGAGGAATTCTGGGAGTTGAAGTCCACGAGTCATGAAGGGGCCATAGTTCCCCCACACTGGCTCAGGAATTCTGGGAGTTGAAGTCCACGAGTCACGAAGGGGCCATTGTTCCCCCATGCTGGCTGAGGAATTCTGGGAGTTGACGTCCACGAGTCATGAAGGGGCCATAGTTCCCCCCTGCTGGTTGAGTAATTCTGGGAGTTTACGTCCACGAGTCATGAAGGGGCCATAGTTCCTCCATGCTGGCTGAGGAATTCTGGGAGTTGAAGTCCAGGAGTCATGAAGGGGCCATAGTTCCCCCATGCTGGCTCAGGAATTCTGGGAATTGAAGTCCACGAGTCATGAAGAGGCCAAGGTTGCCTACCCCTGCTCTAGGCTCTGCCTGTGTGAATACAACAACCCGGTGCATATAACATGCTTCAACAGGGCAGTTTTGGCCACTTAGCAGATCATTCAGACAATAAGAGGAACTTTATTAGCATTAACCATGGTTTGATTTCCATGGCTTAACTTTTGTTGTGTGAACCCAGACTGTTTATGATTCAGGCGACGGTGTGGATCCAAATAAGACCCTGTATACTGGTAGTCCTCAAGATACAAAAGTCTGCTTAGTGACCGTTCAAAGTTACAACGGCAGTGAAAAAAGTGACTTACGACCATTTTTCACACTTAACGACCGTTGCAGCATCTCCGTGGTCACATGATCAAAATTCAGATGCTGGGCAACTGGCATTTATGACGGTCGCAGCATTCCCCCGGGGTCATGTGATCACCATTTGCGACCTTCTGACAAACAAAGTCAATGGGGGAATCTGGATTCGCTTAACGACCGTGTTACTCACTTAACAACTGCAGCAATTCACTTAACAAATGTGGCAAGAAAGGTCGTAAAATGGAGCACAAAACTCACTTAGCAAATTTCTCATTTAGCGGCATCAATTTTGGGCTCAATTCTGGTCGTAGGTTGAGGACTACCTGTACTTACAACCTGCATGTAAAGCACCGGTGTCTGCCCCCTGATATGTGATTCTGATCATGTGACTGCATTTCTAGGGCTTGCCACTGGCCTGGGGTACGTGACCGCGATTTAGCGTGTTTTTGGCAGGAAAACGGCAAAAAAACATCCATAGTGAACAACGGGGTTGCTTTACCATCGTGGCGTTTTGCTTAACCACCACTCAAAAAAGTCATAAAATGAGGCCGGTCACATGGGTGACGTACAACTGTTGTGACTTGTGTCTGACATGGGTCTCCATTACGGCCGTAAATCAAGGACTAGCTCTACATATATGTGTGGTATTTGTATGATGCCAACCAACTGTGGTAAAAATTACTTAGGTAATACATATGTTGTAGTCCTTGACTTACGACGGCTGCTATTAAGTGAGATATTTCTTAAGTAAGTTTTGCCCCATTTTACAACCTTTCTCGCCGTAGTTGATAAGTGAATCCGGCTTCCCCATTGACTTGGCTTGTCAGAAGGTCGCAAAAGGGGATCACTGCGACCGTCATAAGTAAGAGTCAGTTGCCACATGTCTGAATTTTGATCACGTGACCACAGGGATGCTGCGACCATCGCTGAGTGTGAAAACCGGTCGTAAGTCACTTTTTTCAGTGCCGTTATAACTTTGAACGGTCACTAAATGAACTATTGTAAGTTGAGGACAAGGTGTACAAAGGGACTTAACGACCAGTTTTCACACTTACGACCATTGCAGCAGCCCCACCGTCACATGGTCAAAATTCGGATGCTTCGGCATTGACTCGTATTTATGACGGCCGCAGTGTTTCCCCCCCCAGGTCACGTGATCCCCGTTTGCGACCTCCTGACGAGGAAAGTCCATGGGGAAGTTAGATTCAATGTGACTAACTTAATAGCCACACTGATTCACTTAACGACGGCAAGAAAGGTCATTAAGTGGGGCAAAAATTCACTTAGCGGTGACTTGCTTAGCAGCGGAAATTTGGGGCTCGACTGTGCTCATAAGTCGAGGACTTCCTGTGTGGCTATTTCTGCCAGTGGGAAGGTTGAGAACCACTGGACTAGATGATCTCCAAGGTCCCTTCCAACTACTACTACTACTACTACATCTTCTTCTTCTTCTTCTTCTTCTTATTATTATTATTATTATTATCGATCATCGCACAGTCAGCCAGATGTTCAGACTGGATTTGGCATTTTGTCTACCTATCGAGTCCTTACCCAGGACCTGGGATAGGCAGATGTGGATGTTTGATGGTATTACAGATATCGTCGCAGGATGGAAGCAGTTCCTAATAAGGCTGCCTTTTGCAATTGACTAATAGCGAATTTGTCAATGCCAATGGTGTTCAAGTGGCGCTCCAGTTGTTTTGGGATTGCACCCAAGGAGCCTATGACTATTGGTACTACCCTTGCTTGCTTTTGCCACAGTCTTTCTATTTCTATTTGTAGGTCTTTGTATTTTGTTATTATTATTATTATTATTATTATTATTATTATTATTATTATTATTATTATTATTATTCCTTTTTCATTTTACAGATGGGTCTGAATCCCCGAGGCCGAAGCTGCCTGCCGCCTTCTCGTGGTGCCTTCCGTGGGGCCGAAGGAACGAGGATTTACACACCTGTGCAAAGTTACACGAAGGTAAGCAGGTTGGGGGACTCTTTGAGTCTTGCAAAACTTGAATTGCCGTCTTTTTCCTCCATTCCCACCACCGGTTTAACCTGCATGTGGAATAAAACCCATTTTCTGGAATTGCGATACAGGTAGTTCTCAATTTACAACACTTTGTTTAGTGACCGTTCCGAATTACAACAGCATGGAAAAAAAATGAGCTGTGACCGTTTTCCTATTGCAGCGTCCCTATGTGGTCATGTGATCAAAATTCCGATGCTTGCCAACTGGCTCCTGTTTACGACGGTCGCAGCGTACCCCCCGGGGTCACGCGATCCCCTTTTGCGACTTTCTCTCAAACATAATCAATGGGGGAAGCCGGATTCGCTTAGTAACCGTGTTACTAATGTAAAACAACTGCAGTGATCCACTTAACGATGGTGGAAGGAAGGACATAAAGTGGGGCAAATCTCACTCAACAAAAGTCTGACTTAGCAGCGGCAATTTTGGACTCAGTTGTGCTCGTAAGTGGAGGACTGCCTGTTTTAATCCGTGGACCATAAAACCATGAAGCAAATTAACTGGAATGAAGGAGGAAAAAAACTGAAGGAGCCGAGTGTTCAGTTCACACGGCCATAACTGGGTTATTTGGTTCATTCATTTATTTCCAGATTTATAAAGCTGCCCAAGTCAGATAACAACATACAACATAAATACACAATCAAGTTTTATTTATTTATTTTTAAAAATAGAATAGACAATATATAAACACAAAATCTAAACGCCGATTCTAGCTTAGGGTAAGTTGTGACCTCAACCATTTGATTCAGCGGGATATGTGCTGAATTATGGTTTGTTCAAAGAAGGGTTAAGCCATGGTTTTGTGTGCTGCTAACTGGAAAAATAGACCCGCGTGGTTTGAAGCTTAGTGACTTGATCAGCCGAAATCTCATGTTCTTTTATTTTATTTATGAATCAAATTTGTATAGCTGCCCATCTTATGTTTTTGCAATGAGCTCAGGACTCCTTCTAAATCCATATTTCTCAATCTTAGCTATTTTAAGATATGTGGACTTCGACTCCCAGAATTCCCCAGCCAGCCATGCCTGTTTCTTTTTCTCTTACCCCGAAAGTGAAGAGAATGCAGAGAAAGGGATTACAAGAGAATAAGCTATGCTGGCTGGGGAATTCTGGGGAGTCGAAGTCCTCATATCTTAAAATGGCCAAAATGGAGAAATATTGTTCTAGAACAGTGGTTCTCAATCTTTTTAATGCCGCAACCCCCAACCGGTTGTAAGTTGAGGACTACTCAACTGGTCGTAAGTCGAGGACTACTCAACTGGTGCAGCACCGTTTGCAGAAGGGGACTTTTGGCAGGCTCAGCAGGGCAGAGACAGCCTGGACAATTCCTATTGGCTTTTGAAAGCCAATAGAATTAGACTCTATTCAAGAGAGTCTATTCTATTGGCTTTCGAAAGCCAATAGAATAAAAGGGAGTAGCACAGCTAAGGAAAAGGGGGGAAAAAAATGGTGGACTGCGTTGTTTGGCGACCCCCGTGAAATGGTCGTTCGACCCCAAATGGGGTCCCAACCCACAGGTTGAGAATCACTGTTCTAGAATGAATGCATATAAATTTGAGCATGTCTTTATGATGCCTTACCCTACCCCGTTCTTTTTTTTTTTTTTTCAATGTAGATGCCCTACAAGACTTAGAAGGAGCCATAGCGTTAACCAACATTGCACCGAACGGGAAATGTGAAGAGGCTTCAGAGGGGCTGGGTGCTTAACAGCCCGTAGTTTGTTGTCTCTCTGATGGATTCCACGTTCTTCTTATCCTATCCTTCCGGAAGTAAAAAAAAAAAAATCCAAACTTGGGACATCCTCACAAGCTCCATGAAGGAAGCAGCTAGAAGCTTGTCTGCTTTTTTTTAAATGATAGTTTATTCCAGAGCCATTTTTGCAGAAAAGATGCTGGTTTGTCTCTTGTCACATACCGTACTTTGGGAAACCAAAGAAAGGTTGCTTTCTAGTCTGAATCACCGTCAAGAGGCACAATTCTCTTCATAAAAGCCACTAGACCTCTTGAGGCTCACAGTTTGAAGAAGCATTGTGTTTCTCCAAAGGTTGCAGGGCTTTTTCTGAAGGTCACAACAGAAACATCAGGGCAATCCTCATTCTTCCCGTTTATTGAACTTGTCTCCTTCATTCTGGAATCCCGTCTGCAGGATTAGAAGTCTTGGAGCTCGGAAGGAAAACAGGAACGGTTGCTGGTGTTTTGAGGGGGAAAAAATCCACTTTATTCTGTTCCTGAATATGACTTCTTGTGGTAAAGAAATTCTACTACGTTGTTCATGAAGATACACATGTGCAGTTACTCGCTCTTGTGGGTACTCTGTCCCTGGCTGTGTTTTGGAAACTTACTCAGCGCTGGCCACTTTCTCAACCCTGGCCATTTTTGAAATGGGTGTTTTTCAACCCTGGCTACTTTCAAATGGCTGAACTTCCCCAAGCTGGCTGGGGAATTCTGGGAATTGAAGTTCAGCCATTTGAAAGTAGCCAGGGTTTGGTTTACGGTTGATCAATACTGCAACATATATTTTTTTCATCAAAATAAACACTTAGGCATTTCACGAATGAAGGCGAATGTTATGGCTATGCATTTTTACCAACATGGTATTTTTTCAACCATATATTTTTCAACAAAATACATGATTATTCATTCGCCATTGTTCTAGAGAAAGGTTTCCCAATTGCTGTATTTTGTAAGCCTGAATCTTCAATTTTATGATGATTATTTTTTTAAATTTTGGTGAGATTGTAAGGTCCTAACCTCCCATAGAGTACACCCTGTGGCAGAAAGCAGATGGACAGGGCAAGGTATGTTACATTCTGAAAAGGAAGTGATTTTTTTCCATTTCTCTAGAACAGTGGTTCTCAACCTTTCTAATATCGCGACCCCATAATACAGTTCCCCATGTTGTGGTGACCCCCAACCACTTATACATCACTGGGTGCCAGGGGCATGGCCAAAGAAAAGGGGAAAAATGGCAGACAGCCTTGTTTGGCGACCCCTGTGAAATGGTCGTTCGACCCCAAATGGGGTCCCGACCCACAGGTTGAGAACCACTGCTCTAGAAAAATAATATTATTCAAAAGACCATCGTATTCCAAACTTTTTTTTTTTTTTTGGATAATGACAGAAGAATTTGGGGGAGGGGCTGATTTTGGTTTCACCATTTTGTTTCTGACTCTTTGCTCATGGGTTCAAAGCAGGTTTACTTAAAAGCAATATAATAATAATAATGATAATAATGATGATGATGATGTAGTAGTATCAATAGTAATAGGTGCCTTGGGTGCAATCCCAAAACAACTGGAGCACCACTTGAACACCATTGGCATTGACAAATTCACTATTAGTCAATTGTCAAAGGCGGCCTTACTAGGAACTGCTTCCATCCTGCGAAGATATCTGTAATACCATGAAACATCCACATCTGCCTATCCCAGGTCCTTGGGAAGGACTCGATAGGTAGGTAAAATGCCAAATCCAGTCTGAACATCTGGCTGACTGTGCGATGATCCATAATAATAATAATAGTTGGAAGGGACCTTGGAGGTCATCTAGTCCAACCCCCTGCCCAGGCAGGAAACCCTATACCATTTCGGACAAGGGCTGTCCAATCTCTTCTTGAAAACCACCAGTGTTGGAGCACTCAACCTCTGGAGGCAAGGAGTTCCACTGGTTAATTGTTCTCACTGTCAGGAAGTTTCTCCTTCGTTCTAGATTTCTCTTTGGTTAGTTTCCATCCGTTGCTTCTTGTCCTGCCTTCAGGTGCTTTGGAGAATATATAGAGAGAAAGAGAAGAAGGAAGGAAGGAAGGAAGGAAGGAAGGAAGGAAGGAAGGAGAAAGAAAGGAAGAAAGTAAGTAAGAAAGAAAGAAAATCTCATGTAGGTCCCTGACTTGTCGTATACTCAGCATGACTCAGGATAGTAATATTGTAACCTAGTTTATTTGAGAGACCCCAGTTTTGGGAAATTATTTTTTGTAAGAATACAGTCAACGACTGCAAAAACAATTGAGAATCCAGTTCATTTCATCATTTTAACGGTTTCAATTATCCAACGTTTTGCTTTTCTCGCAAATAGGAGGGTGAAATTAACCATTGTTTAAATCCAGTTTGCACAGATGGGCTTACCTAAACAGCAAGCCAAAAAGGTGGTTTCAGTTTTTGAGGTTGTGCAAATCCAGCTACAGGAATTAACAGGAAGAGAAGGACAAAGACTAGTTACCACGTAATTCTTTTACCAATTTAAATCAGTTTTCAGGGCAGATTATAGCAGATATATCCTTTGGCAATGGGATTTCTTTAATTGAAGCTGGTTCCCAATTTTGCAAATGTTTGACTAGATTCACCTTCTTGTGCCATATCCGTTATCGGACGTTGGCGATCATGTTGGCGATCCTGTTTTTATCAGCAACCGCACAAAAAAGTGCTGCTGAGTTTCACCTACCAAGTTTAAATTAGTGTATGAATAAACTGCAGCGGGGGCAGTGTATTTGCATAAAACAAAAGCCCTTGAAACTCACAAATCAAAAGATAAGCTTACGATCAAAAGGCTTAAGATCATCGCAAGTCGTCAGGTGGGGTATTTGAATTCAGCTTGTCTTGATTCATAAACAGAATATCAATTTTTTTCCCCCTTTCTCTTAAGAGGACTTTGTGCCTTTGAGTGGAACTTTTTTTTAATGCACTTTAATGCTGTGCCTTTTGAATATCTGTGGAATAAACCGCCATTCGTGGCCTAGATGCCTTGCCCGTGCAGTGGCTACTTAGAGCTAATCCTCTTTCAAAGAAAGCCTAAAGAGCGGATGCAAATTCTGAGTGTTATAGTTTTCCATAACAGTTTGTCCTTGCTTGTAAGATGGAACTGTGTAGCTAATTACTCAGCTATCCGATAAGCCTCTATAAAACTTTCTGGCTATTAAATATGGCCTTTGGCTGGGTTTGTAGCCATTTTGCCTTCCTCACTCCTTTCTAAAAACAGGAGCCATTGTCATCGAGTACCTGACGATGCAAAATACAGATGGTCCTCGACTTACAATCCTTCTTTCAAAGTTACAACGGCATTGTAAAAAGCGACTTACGATCAGTTTTCACACACTTACGACCGTTGCAACATCCCCATGGTCACATGATCAAAATTCAGACGCTCGGCAACTAGCTTGTTATTTATGATGGTTGCAACATCCTGGAGTCATGTAATTTGCGAACCTCTGACAAGCAAAGTCAATGGGCAAGCCAAATTCAGCTTAACAACTCTGTTACTAGCTTAAATCACCGCAGGGATTCATTTAACAACTGTGGCAAGAAAATGTCATAAAGGGGGGGGGGGCAAAATTCACTTAACAAACTCTTGGAATTTACAACTCATTGGAAATTCTGTACGCTTGTTCTGAGTTGCTGCAAATTGTGACTTCCGTTAGCAAGCTCCCTTTATCTCCCAGGAAATGGAGCCTGTGTTATATGACAGCTATAAACAAAAGGGATTTTCCTGTGCTCCCGAGAGAGAATTTCTGAGGGAGCAATGGAGAATGTTAAGGGACTAATTTCTCTCTGTAGTGTTTGACTTGCTTGCAAACTGTCACCAGGTTGCCTAATTTGGCAAAGCACTGTACAAATACATTGAATAAACCTGTATCTTTGTAAATAAGCAGATTACAACATAAATAGATTGCAAAGTACTAATTGGCGTCCAGTGGCTTTCTTCTAAAGGAAAACAAACCCTGGAAAAACAAAATTGCAAAGTTGGACCTTTTCACCAGTTGGAGAAACAGACTGTGTGCAACGGAGATTCAAATTCAGAATAGAGTTGGAAGGGACCTTGGAGGTCTTCTAGTCCAACCCCCTGTTCAAGCAGGAGACCCCACTATTCCAGACAAATGGCTGTCCAGACTCTTCTTAAAAACTTCCAGTGGTGGAGCACCCACAACTTCTGGAGGCAAATGGTTCCACTGGTTGATTGTTCTCCCTGTCAGGAAAATTACTCCCTAATTCCAGGTTGCTTCTCTCCTTGATTAGTTTCCATCCATTGCTTCTTGTCCTGCCCTCAGATGCTTTGGAGAACAGCTTGATTCCCTCTTCTTTGGGGCAGCCCCTGAGATACTGGAACACTGCTATCATGTCCCCCCTTGTCCTTTTTTCTAGACTAGCCTAACCCTAATCCTGTAACCGTTCTTCATATGTTTTAGTCTCCAGGCCTTTAATCATCCTTAGTTGCTCTTTGCACTTTTTTCCTAAGTCTCAACATCTTTTTTGTAATGTTATATTTTGTATTATGAAAAAGATAATGTTCTTCATATGTCACACATCAGGATCACCCATCATGGGCTGTTTTTGTTCTGTTGCCCTAGGTCAGGGGTAGGCAACCTTGGCTCTTTTATGACTGGTGGACTTCAACTCCCAGAATTCCTGAGCCAGCATGGCTCAGCTTGGAAACCTCTCCCTTTCCCCTCAGCATGGTTGGCTCGGGAATTCTGGGAGTTGAAGTCCATGAGTCATAAAGCGGCCTAGGCCTAGGGCAGGGATAGGCAACCTTGGCTCTTTTTATGACTGGTGGACTTCAGCTCCCAGAATTCCTGAAACTAGTGGCTCCGCTTGGAAACCTCAACATGGCTGGCTCAGGAATTCTGGAAGTTGAAGTCCACAAGTCATGTTTTGTTGTTTGTCCATAGATTTCGATGAAGACCTTGACATCTTGTAGGTTATGGGCCATCAACGATATGTCCATAGGTGGCTAATAAGACCGATTGTCCACAAGTCACAAAAGAGCCAAGGTTGCCTACCCCGCCCTAGGTGAACAACTCGTGACTTCAGCTCCACAAAGGGAATTCTGGGCATTGAAATCCACCCATGCTGGCTGGGGAATTCTAGGAGTTGAATTAAAATCTCCCAAGTTGGGAAAAGTCTGGTTTCATACTGTATTCTCTGCACTCCCAAACCCAATGAATTCAGGCAATTCAGGTTAACCCCCTAACCCAGTTTGCAAAAAGACCGGAAATGTGATGTGTCCGACGGTCAGTTGCCACTGTTAACAATGAAAATGCAAGAAATTCGCCTCCCCCCCCCACGAGATCAGGTCGGCCATTTTGGGGGCGCTCCTGTGCGATTGTCAGCCGCGGGGCAGGCAGAAATTCAACAGGTGTAGCTTCGCCGACTTTTTTTAACCTAACCCACCCGCCCCTCGCCTCCTCTTTTTTTTCCCCACAAAGCCCGCTTCGCTTTCTTTCCATCATTTCCCGCCTTTTCCAGCCCTCCAACGGCCGCCATTTTCCAATCAGGCGTTCGCCAAGGCCACCCTGCGCTCCTGCCGCCGGTTGCTAAGAAACCGCGGCCCTGAGAGAAAGGGAAGAAGCCCCGTCGCGCCTGCCGAGCGTCACTTCCGCTATAGCTCCGGAAGCGGCGAATGCGCTTGGTCACGGACTGGAAGCGGCGCTGCTTTGAGGAAAGGCTCCGTCTCGTTTCGCCCTTTTACCGCCCCGGGAGCGCCGAGCAGGCCCGGACTGCGACGCCGTGGCACCATGATCACTTCAGCCGGTAAGCGAGGCAACGGCCGGCCGGAGGGAAGCCCGGGGTGGTTTCCGCTGAGTCAGGCAGGGCCCGGAGCAAGGCTTACCCTGCCCTCTCCCGGCTTCCTGGGGCGCCTTCGGCCACCCCCAGGCTCTCCCCCTCGGTGGCTCCAGCGCAGGGGCCTTCAAACTTGGTCCTTTTGTGACTTGTGGACTTCAACTCCCAGAATCCCTCAGCCAGGCACGCTGGCTGAGGAATTCTGGGAGTTGAAGTCCACCAGTCACAAAGTGGCTAAGGTTGGAGTCCTTTACTCCAGGGGTTTCAACTTGGCCCTTTTATGACTTGTGGACTTCAACTCCCAGAATCCCTCAGCCAGGTAGGCTGGCCGAGGAATTCTGGGAGTTGAAGTCCGCAAGTCTTAAAGTTGCCAAGGTTGGAGACCCCTGGGGGCCACGCTTGGGAGGCCTAGATCTAAGACAGGGGTCGGCTGAGGGATTCTGGGAGTTGAGGTCCACAGGTCAATCAAAGGGCCAAGTTTGGAGACCCCCTGCTGCAGCCTGGTGTCTATGGAGATTCTCCATCATCCAGGTCATGGTTGTTCCCACAGGTGCTTTTTCCAAAAAGCAGCTGGACTTTATCGTGGTTTTTCTTGGAGGGCGTTTCGCTTCTCCTCCAGGAAGCTTCCTCGGTTCTGACCGAATGGTGGAGGATGGAAGGATTTATAGATAGGATTAACTTTGGGGTCCTTGGTGCTCTCTGAGTTTGGTTACTATCATAGATGTTTCAATCAATCAGTCGATCGGAATAGAGCTGGAAGGGACCTTGGAGGTCTTCTAGTCCAGGGGTAGGCAACCTTGGCTCTTTGATGACTCGTGGACTTCAACTCCCAGAATTCCTGAGCCAGCATGGAACAGTTTACCGCTGTTCTAGTCCAACCCTGTCCAAGTAAGAGACCCTATAGCAGGGGTCTTCAAACTTGGCCCTTTTATGACTTGTGGACTTCAACTCCCAGAATTCCTCAGCCAGGCTGAGGAATTCTGGGAGTTGAAGTCCACTGAGGAATTCTGGGAGTTGAAGTCCACAAGTCATAAAAGGGCCAGGTTTGAAGACCCCTGACCTATAGCATTTCAGACAAATGGCTGTCTAAATTCCTCTTAAAAACTCCAGATGGAGCACCCACAACTTCTGGAGGCAAGTTGTTCCACTGGTTAATTGTTCTCACTTTCAGGAAATGTCTCCTTAGTTCCAGGTTGCTTCTCTCCTTGATTAGTTTCCATCCATTTCCAGTCCTGCCTTCAGGTGCTTTGGAGAATAGCTTGACTCCCTCTTGTTTGGGGCAGCCCCTGAGATATTGGAAGACTGCTATCATGTCAACCCTGGTCCTTCTCTTCATTAAACTGGACATACCCTATTCCAGCAACCGTTCCTTATATGTTTTAGCCTCCAGGCCCTTAATTACCTTAGTTGCTCTTCTTTCTACTTTTTCCAAAGTCTCAACATCTTTTTTGTAATGTGGTGACCAAAATTGGACTCTGTATTCCAGGTGTGGCCTTACTAAGGCTTTATAAAGCGGTACTAATACTTCACATGATTTTGATTCTATGCCTCTGTTTATATAACCAAGCACTATATAAAGGAAACAAGGATTGTTTCGTTACCCAACTAGATAACATTACCAGCGCTAGGAGGGGTGCAGTTTAAGTAATGGAGGAGGAGGAGAAAGAGAACAGGGAGAAAGGAGATAAAGTGAAGGGGGAAAAGGAAGAAGAGAAGAAGGAGGAAGGAAGGAGAACTGTGGGGTCCTTGGTGCTCTCTGAGCTTGGTGGTTTGGTGCAGACATTTCATTACCCAACTAGGTAACATCATCAGTGCTAGAAGGGGAGGAAGCAGGGCTGTGGGATCCTTGGTGCTTTCTGAGCTTTGTGGTTTTCTTGCCAATGTTTAATCACCCAACTAGATAACATCATTAATGCTAGGAAGGAGACAGTTTTGTGCTCTGTTTATGATGCATATGTGGCTTGCCCTGTCAGTGCTGATGGAAATACTCTTGGTAGCTTCTTGATCAGGCCTTTTGATTATTTGTGTGAGTTGGCAATTTCTTGATTGGAATATTGGTTACAGATTAATTGTTGATGTGGGTATTCTGGCATTAATCTCTGTTTATTTGGATGCTGATAGCTGGTGAGGGCTTATGTTGGTGTTTTTGTTATCTTTTTGATCATCTGTTTTGAATGGTGTCTAGAGATTGTTTATCTCTAGGTGCCTGTTTATGTTTGTTTGTTTGAATGCCAAGTTTCCAGGAGTTCCCTAGTGGTTTTTTGGATTTAACTTGGTCTAGGATGCTCAGTTTCCCAGTGGAAACTATGGTTAAGTCTGTCCATGTGAATTTTCACCATGTCTTCTAACTGCTGGCAAAGTTAATGCAGTAAGCCAAGCTATAGTGAAATGTATGGTGCTAATGCAGCTCTTCACCTGGTAGGATATTAGCTATAACCGATAAGGCTAGGACAGGGGTAGGCAACCTCGGCTCTTTTATGACTCATGGACTTCAACTCCCAGAATTCCCGAGTCAATTCGGGAATTCTGGGAGTTGAAGTCCATGAGTCATAAAAGAGCCGAGGTTGCCTAAACCCTGGGCTAGGATATATTGTTTCCTCTGCTTACCCAACCTGATCTCCTTACTTGTTTACAGAGTAATGGGGTCTGGAATATCCAGACTTTCTCGATCGTGTGTCATTCAGTTGTTTAGAATCAGAATCAGAATAGAACTGGAAGGGACCTTGGGGGTCTTCAAGTCCAGCCCCCTGCTCAAGCAGGAGACCCTGTTCCATTTCACACACGTCGCTGTCCAATCTCTTCTTAAAAGCCTCTAGTGATGAAGCACCCACAACTTCTGGAGGCAAGCTGTTCCACTGGTTAATTGTCCTCACTGTTAGGAAGTTTCTCTTTAATTCCAGTTTGCTTCTGTCTTTGATTAGTTTCCATCTGTTGTTTCTTGTCTTGCCAGCTGGTGCTTTGGAAAATAACTTGATTCCCCTCTTCTTTGTGGCAGCCCCTCAAATAATAGAAGGCTGCTATCATGTCCCCCCTCGTCCTTTTCTCTAGACTGGCCATTCTCAGTTCCTGCAACTGTTTTTCATATTCGTTCTTCATATCCAGGCCTTTAATCATCTTAGCTGCTGCTCTTTGCCCTTTTTCCAAACATATGAAGAGCCGAGGTGGCGCAGCAGTTAGAGTGCAGTACTGCAGGCCACTTTAGTTGACTGTGTTCAGCAGGTCAGCAGTTCAAATCTCATCGGCTCAAGATTGACTCAGCCTTCCATCCTTCCGGGGTAGGTAAAATGAGGACCCAGATTGTTGGGGGCAATGTAAATATATATATACATTGCTTACTGGTGTACACCACTTAGAGAGTGCTTGCACTTAAAGCGGTATATAAGTCTCATAAATAAATAAATAAATCTCAACATCTTTTTGTTACCTTTTTGCAACCCTTCCTTATATGTTTTAGCCTCCAGCCCCCTGATCATCTTTGTTGCTCTTCTCTGTACTCTTTCTAGAGTCTCAACATCTCTTTTACATCGTGGTGCCCAAAACTGGATACCTTACTCCAGGCGTGGCCTTACCAAGGTTTTCTAAGGCAGTACTAATGCTTCCCGTGATTTTGATTCTATCCCTTCGTTTATACAGCCAAGGGCTCTAGGAAGCCTTTTTATGTTGGAATTCAGTTCCCATAATCTTCAGCTTGCATAAGATGGGAATCAAAGTCTTAAGAAGGGTACAGAATAGTGAAGCCTTGGCATAGCCATCTAGAAGAAGAAATGGGTTTTTTTTTGGGGGGGGGGAAACAATATTTTCACAAATCTGCCATATTTTCAAAAACCCTGAGAAATGATTTTCCAGTCTAGTTTTTAGGTCTCTGCCGTCAGAACCATCAAGTCAGGGTTTGTTTGTTTTTTTACTTTTACAAGTAAAAAAAAAGTAGTTTTTATTACTGTGCTTTTCTGGAAAGCATAAACTCCTTGCATTATTTTCCACAAGGAGAAGCAGCTTACAACCCTTAGAACAGGGCTTTTCAACCTTTTCACTCATTGTACCACTTTTAGGATATGGCAACATCCGTGTACCACCCATCGCCTAGCAAGGTGTCAAAAACCTGATGACCCCCCCCCAAAAGGAAAAAAGTGATAAAATACAGGTAGTCCTCGACTTACAACAGTTCGCTTAGTGACTGTTCAAAGTTATAGTGGCACTGAAAAAAGTGCCCCCCAAGCCACAGCCGAGCAAGACACCTGCCTGCCCGCCTGGCAGCGCTCTTCCTCCTGTCCGACATTTTCATTGTTGTGAGCATTTCTGTTGAGGATTGGCAGTGGGGGTGGGGGGGGGTGTTTGTTTTTTATTCCCCCCCCTGTCTGCTGGGTGGTTGCAGCAGGTTTTGGTCACTTCCCATGACCCTGGAACACTGTGACCGTCATAAATATGAATCAGTTGCCAAGCATCTGAATGTAAATCACAAGACCCTGGAGATGCTGCAACATCCCAGCTGATCGGTGCTTTTTCGGGGCTCAGCAGAAGCGCCAGGATCAGGGCTGCTTTCCAGCTGATTGGTGCTTCTTCTGGGCTCAGCAGAAACGTCAGGATCAGTGCCGAGCTCCAGCTGGAGCCTGGCGCTGATCCTGGCGCTTCTGCTGAGACCTGACAACCCCGAAGAAGCGCCGATCAGCTGGAAAGCGGCACTGATCCTGGCGCTTCCGCTGAGCCCTGACAGCCCTGCAGCCCAGCCATCTCTTGCTCAGGCTTGTGCGGTGCTGCCACCGGTTCAGCTCATTCCCCTCCCCCGTTACCCCTTTTCTAGGATGGTCGCATACCACCTGCCAGGTGCCAATGGACCACAGGTTGAAAAAGCCCTGCCTTAGAAAGTGAAGTTAAATCATAAATACTGTGCATGGAAACAGGGCACACACGATAACTTGGTGATGAAGGAGTGGATCAGAATAAATAGAACTTGAAATTAACTCTCTTCTGATGATCATTTTTTGTTTTTGGAGCCATTGATTTACCTGTTAATTGAAGACCAAAAACTCGCTAGGATTTGCATGCTTTTTTGGGTGGTTGTTGTTGTCCAGGTCTTGTTCATTTTAGCTTAGCTCGTGTTAGAATGTTATGTTCTGAGTCAACCTTGATATTTTTTTCTGGGTGACTTGTTTTTTTAGAAATGGATTCCCATTGCATTCTTCCTCGGGCTGACAGGGACAGACTGGCCCAAAATCACTCACCCTTGGACAGGACTAGAACTCACAACCTCCCAGTGCTATCTCCCACTAATTGTAAATATCAAAATGAAGTTCTAATACAGAGGTTTTCAAACTTGGCCCTTTTAGGACTCGTGGACTTCAACTCCCAGAATTCCTCAGCCGGGCACGCGTGCCCGGCTGAGGAATTCTGGGAGTTGAAGTCCACGAGTCCTAAAAGGGCCAAGTTTGAAGACCCCTGTTCTAGTATCTCATACTGTAAACGCATTTGCAAATCCCTTTGCTGTAGCAATTCTGAAAATAACCCTGCTTATATTAAAGTATAAATTCTATGTGATATCTAATATAACCTTTTTTTTCCAGCTGGAATAATTTCTCTTCTGGATGAGGAAGAGCCAGAACTCAAGGTAGGCTTGTATTTTTTTTTTTTTTTTATCCACTTTGGCAAGCACAAGGTTGCCAAATTGAAATGGAAAGGCCGTTTGTGCCCGAGGGGGCCTGGCTCTTTTGCCCTGCCAGCTACTTGCAAGTCTAAAATCAGTGTTTTTCGTTCTTTTGACAGGAATTTGCCCTCCACAAACTGAACGCAGTGGTCAATGACTTTTGGGCCGAGATCTCTGAATCGGTAGATAAAATGTAAGCGGAAAGACCTCAAATTCATCTGAAAGTACGGGCCAAAATTGTATCTTGTCCCTTTTTCGGAGCGGCTAGAGCAGGGGTAGGCAACCTTGGCTCTTTCATGACTCGTGGACTTCAATTCCCAGAATTCCTTAGCCAGCATGGGGGAACTATGGCCCCTTCATGACTCGCGGACTTCAACTCCCAGAATTCCTGAACCAGCATGCGGGAACTATGACCCCTTCATGACTGGTGGACTTCAACTCCCAGAATTCCTGAGCCAACATGGGAGAACTATGGCCCCTTTATGACTGGCGGACTTCAACTCCCAGAATTCCTGAGCCAACATGGGAGAACTATGGCCCCTTCATGACTCCAGGACTTCAACTCCCAGAATTCCTGAGCCAGCATGGGGGAACTATGGCCCCTTCATGACTGGTGGACTTCAACTCCCAGAATTCCTGAGCCAGCATGGCTCAGCTTGGAAACCTCTCCCTGTCCCCTCAACATGGCTGGCTCAGGAATTCTGGGAGTTGAAGTCCACCAGTCATAAAAAAGCCAAGGTGGCCTAGCCCTGGGCTAGTTGAAATGCTAAAGGAAACACTTATGTTCACCAAGGGCCGCAGTGGAACCAATCTTTTCTTCCTTTCCCCACAGTGAAATTCTGTATGAAGATGTTGGGTTTCGTAGTCGGGAATTTGCCGCGTTGGTGGCTTCGAAAGTGTTCTATCACTTAGGGGCTTTTGAAGAATCCCTAAATTATGCCCTGGGAGCCGGCAATCTTTTCAACGTCAACGACAATTCGGAATATGTAGAAACCATTATTGGTAAGTCTTGTGCCCTGTGAAACTGGAAAGGCCTTTGGCCTGGCTATCCAAATTCAACGGCCTGTGCAAAAAATTCACAAGATGCTTAATTATAGATAATCATCTAATCCAGCGGTTCTCCACCTGTGGGTCAGGACCCCATTTCACGGGGGTCGCCAAACAACGCAGTCCGCCATTTTCCCCCCCTTTTCCTTAGCTGTGCTACTCCCTTTTATTCTATTGGCTTTCGAAAGCCAATAGAATAGACTCTCTTGAATAGAGTCTAATTCTATTGGCTTTCCAAAGCCAATAGGAATTGTCCAGGCTGTCTCTGCCCTGCTGAGCCCGCCAAAAGTCCCATTCTGCAAACGGGGCTGCACCAGTTGAGTAGTCCTCGACTTACGACCGGTTGAGTAGTCTTCGACTTACGACCGGTTGGGGGGTCGCAGCATTAAAAAGTTTGAGAACCACTGATCTAATCCAATCCTTTGCTCAGGCAGGAAAGCCTATACCATTTCGGACAAATGGCTGTCCAGTCTCTTCTTAAAAACTTCCAGTGTTGGAGCATTTACTGCTTCTGGAGGCAGGTTGTTCCACTGGTTAATTGTTCTCACTGTCAGGAAATTTCTCCTTAGTTCCAGGTTGCTTCTCTTCTTGATGAGTTTCCATCCATTGCTTCTTGTCCTGCTTTCTAGTGCTTTGGAGAATAGGTGGACCCCCTCTTCTTTGGGGCAGCCCCTGAGATATTGGAAGATTGCTATCATGTCCCCCCTCGTCTTTCTCTTCATTAAACTAGACATCCCTAATTCCAGCAACCATTCCTTATATGTTTTAGCCTCCAGTCTCCTGATCATCGGTTGCTGGAATTGGGTATGCCTAGTTTAATGAAGAGGAGGACATAATAGCAGTCTTCCAGTATTGAGGGGCTGCCCCAAAGAGGAGGGGGTCCACCTATTCCCCAAAACACCTGAAGGCAGGACAAAAAGCAACGGATGGAAGCTAATCAAGGAGAGAAGCAACTTGGAACTAAGGAGAAATTTCCTGACAGTGAGAACAATTAATCAGTGGAAAAACCTGTCTCCAAAAGGTGTGAATGCTTCAAAACTGGAGGTTTTTAAAAAGAGTTTGGACAGCCATTTCTCTGGAATCGTATAGAGTTTCCTGCCTAAGCAGGGGGTTGGACTAGATGACCTCCAAGGTCCCTTCCAACTCTGTTATTCTAATTTTTACAATACTACCAAGAACCCTTGGTAGTAGTTCCTTGATTAGGCTATTTGATTATTTGTGTGAGTTGGGTGTTCCTTGATTGAAGTATTTTTTTATTGCTTTCTCCCCCCCCCCCTCCCAAACTTTCAGATTTGCCTCTAGATTAGCAGGCACTTTAGTAATCTGTCATTGGATCTATAAATATTAAAAAAGCTTGAAGGATACCTTTCTTTCCTCAGCAAAATGCATCGACCACTACACCAAGCAGTGTGTGGAAAATGCAGACTTGACGGAAGGGGTGCAGAAAGCCGTGGACCCTCGCCTGGAAGGGATTGTAAACAAGATGTTTCAGCGCTGCTTAGACGATCACAAGTACAAGCAGGCCATTGGCATCGCCCTGGAGACCCGGAGGCTGGACATCTTTGAGAAAACCATTCTGGAATCGGTAGGTGAACCAAGGATGTTGTGAAGAGGTCCTGTGTGGAATACGTACATGCATACATACATACATGCATGCATACATACATACATACATACATACATATATACATCACTTTTAAGTGTGTTGCGTGTTTTATTTATGCAAATTATATGGTGCCCATCTCACAGCAGATCTGGGCCCCAGGGGGAGGAAAAAACAAAATAAAAATAAAAATAAATGGAGTCTTATGGACTTCGGCTCCCGTAGGTCCACAAGTCCACATGGACTTTGGCTCCTGCAGGTCCACAGGTCTTATGGACTTTGGCTCCCGCAGGTCCACAGGTCTTATGGACCAGCTCCCTCAGGTCCACAGGTCTTATGGACTTCAGCTCCCTCAGGTCCACAGGTCTTATGGACTTCAGCTCCCTCAGGTCCACAGGTCTTATGGACTTCAGCTCCCGCAGGTCCACATGGACTTTGGCTCCTGCAGGTCCACTGGTCTTATGGACTTCGGCTCCCGCAGGTCCACAGGTCTTATGGACTTTGGCTCCCGCAGGTCCACAGGTCTTATGGACCAGCTCCCGCAGGTCCACAGGTCTTATGGACTTCAGCTCCCTCAGGTCCACAGGTCTTATGGACTTCAGCTCCCTCAGGTCCACAGGTCTTATGGACTTCAGCTCCCGCAGGTCCACATGGACTTTGGCTCCTGCAGGTCCACTGGTCTTATGGACTTCGGCTCCCGCAGGTCCACAGGTCTTATGGACTTTGGCTCCCGCAGGTCCACAGGTCTTATGGACCAGCTCCCGCAGGTCCACAGGTCTTATGGACTTCAGCTCCCGCAGGTCCACAGGTCTTATGGACTTTGGCTCCCGCAGGTCCACAGGCCTTATGGAGTTCGGCTCCCTCAGGTCCACAGGTCTTATGGACTTCAACTCCCACAGGTCCACAGGTCTTATAGACTTCAACTCCCACGGTCCACAGGTCTTATGGACTTCAGCTCCCACAGGTCTTGTGGACTTCCAAAGGTGTTATGGACTTCAACTCCCACAGGTCCACAGGTCTTACGGACTTCAACTCCCACAGGTCTTGACTCCCTCTTTGGGGCAGCCCCTGAGAGATTGGAAGACTGCTATCCTGTCCCCCGATGTCCTTCTCTTCATTAAACTAGACATACCCAATTCCAGCCAACGTTCTTTGGATGTTTTAGCCTCCAGTCCCCTGATCATCTTTGTTGCTCTTCTCTGCACTCTTTCTAGAGTCTTAACTTCTTTTTTACATCGTGGTGACCAAAACTGGATGCAGTATTCCACGTGTGGCCTTACCAAGGCCTTGTAAAGTGGTATTAACACTTCACGTGAAGGTTGCTTTAAACCCACTAATCAGTGGAGAAAAATCACATGACTCTTTTTTTTTTCGCCGTTTATGACAGAACGATGTTCCCGGAATGCTGGCCTACAGCTTGAAGCTTTGCATGTCTTTGATGCAAAATAAACAGTTCCGCAATCAAGTGCTAAGAGTTTTGGTGAAAATTTACATGAACCTGGAGAAGCCTGATTTCATCAATGTCTGCCAGGTAAGAGGGCGGGTTTTTGTGAACGCTTGCACAAAGGCGGGAGGAATGGTGTTGTGATTCCTCGCCGGCCAGTGGACCCGGCAGCTGTGTCTGGGGAATCAGGAGGAGGAGGGGCCTGGAGTGACATCAAAGGAAGGCTCTGAGGAGCTCCAAGACTTACAATTGGACGAGGAGCCTGGCCCCTCTACTCGCACTCAGGCTGAGACACAGCTGTGCTGGGAGCCTGAGTTGGACAGTGATGAAGAACAGCTGGGACAAATCCCAGATGCAAGAGAAGCGAGTAGGACCGAGGAATGCAATGGGGTGGCTCCAAAGGCAAAGGAGAAGGCATTAGGAAGCCATGCCTGGGCTGAATTATAAAAAGGAAGGTTTGGGAAGTGCTGGTGGCCGAAGGCAGCCGTTTGTGTTAAGGAATGAAGTTTCTGTGAACTGTTTTTTGTTTGCCTTGGAGGACATGGACTCAGGTCTGTGAATAATAAAAGGGGATTGGTTTTTCCCCGCAGTTCCAGCCTGCTTAAGTCATTTTTTTCACTGCCATCGCGACATTGGTCACTAAATGAACGGTCGTAAGGAGTAAGGCATCACTGCTGCCATCTTCTGAGTCTTGGTCTTTGGCCTCCCTCCTGCAGTGTCTCATTTTCTTGGATGACCCACAAGCCGTGAGCGACATCCTGGAGAAGCTGGTGAAGGAGGACAACCTCCTCATGGCTTACCAGATCTGTTTCGACTTGTACGAAAGCGCCAGTCAGCAGTTCCTCTCCGCGGTGATCCAGAACCTCCGCAGCGTCGGCACCCCCATTGCTTCCGTGCCCGGATCTACCAACACGGGGACGGTGGCTGGGCCCGAAAAAGAAGGGTGAGGCACATATACTTGCATACCCATCACGCTGTTGCCTTTCAGGATGTGTGATATTGTGCAAAGAACAGAAAAGGGGTACAAGATAATTGGAATGGAATAGAGTAGAGTAGAGTAGAGTAGAGTAGAGTAGAGTAGAATAGAATAGAATAGAAAATAGGGAAGGGAATGGAATGGAATAGAATAGAATAAGAATATAGATTAGAATAGAATAGAAAATATGGAAGGGAAGGGAATAGAATAGAATAAGAATATAGATTAGAATAGAATAGAATAGAATAGAATAGAATAGAATAGAATAGAATAGAATAGAATAGAATAGAATAGAAAATATGGAAGGGAAGGGAATAGAATAGAATAAGAATATAGATTAGAATAGAAAATATGGAAGGGAAGGGAAGGGAATAGAATAGAATAAGAATATAGATTAGAATAGAATAGAAAATATGGAAGGGAATAGAATGGAATAGAATAAGAATATAAAATAGAATAGAATAGAATAGAAAATATGGAAGGGAAGGGAATGGAATAGAATAGAATAGAATAAGAATATAGATTAGATTAGATTAGATTAGAATAGAAAATATGGAAGGGAAGGGAAGGGAATGGAATAGAATAGAATAAGAATATAGATTAGAATAGAACAGAAAATATGGAAGGGAATGGAATAGAATAGAATAGAATAGAATAGAATAAGAGAATATAGAATAGAATATAGAATAGAATAGAGTAAAGTAGAGTAGAATATACAATAGAATATAGAAAATAGATTAGAATAGAATAAGAGAATATAAAATTGGAGAATATAGAATAGAATACAGAATAGAATATACCTGTAGAATAGAAGTAGACTAGAGTAGAGTTTAATTATGGAATGGAATGGAATAGAATAGAAGTAGAGTAGAAGTAGAGTAGGAGTAGAGTAGAGTAGAATTATGGAAAGGAATGAAATGGAATAGAGTAAAGAATAAGAATTAGAATAGAGTAGAATTATGGAATGGAACGGAACAGAACAATAGAATAGAATATGGATAGAATATGGATAGAATGGAATGGAACAGAACGGAAGAGAACAACAGAATGGAATGGAATGGAATGGAACCTTGGAGGTCTTCTAGTCCAACCCCCTGCTCAGGCAGAAAACCCCATACACATATTTAATTGCAGGCATGGAAGATGCAAATTGGCTCATTATTTCCTTCAAACTCAACTTTTTTCCCTACCTTATTTATTTTTTTCACATGCTACTTTGGTGGCCCAGGTTATTATAGCCAGCACAATCTCTTGGTTTAATAGTTCAAAATGCCATTGGGGAGCCCATGGGGGGGGGGAAAGGCTTTTTTTTATTGGTCATCCTCAACTGTGTTGATACAAATTGCCTGTAGTAACAGAATAGCATAGCTGGAAGGAACCTTGGAGGTCTTCTAGTCCAGCCTCCTGCTCAAGCCGACTAGGTAGGCAAACAGGAATGCTTGTTCGTTCAAGTGGGGGCTGATAAAAGATTGAGGCCTCTGTTCCTTTCACCACCTAGAGCACGGGTAGGCAACTTTGGCTCTTTTATGACTGGTGGACTTCAACTCCCAGAATTCCTCAGCCAGCATGGCTCAGCTTGGAAACCTCTCCCTTTCCCCTCAGCATGGCTGGTTCAGGGATTCTGGGAGTTGAAGTCCGCAAGTCATGAAGGGGCCATAGTTCCCCCATGCTGGCTCAGGAATTCTGGGGTTGAAGTCCAGAAGTCATGAAGGGGCCACAGTTCCCCACGCTGGCTGAGGAATTCTGGGAGCTGAAGCCCGCGAGTCATGAAGGGGCCATAGTTCCCCCATGCCGGCTGAGGAATTCTGGGGTTGAAGTCCGCGAGTCATGAAGGGGCCAAGGTTCCCGCATGCTGGCTCAGGAATTCTGGGGTTGAAGTCCGCGAGTCATGAAGGGGCCAAGGTTCCCGCATGCTGGCTCAGGAATTCTGGGAGTTGAAGTCCACGAGTCATAAAAGAGCCAAGGTTGCCTACTCCTGCTCTAGGCCTAGGCCCCTTCATGACTCGTGGACTTCAACTCCCAGAATTCCTCAGCCAGTGTGGGGGAACTATGGCCCCTTCATAACTGGTGGACTTCAACTCCCAAAATCCCTGAGCCAGCCATGCTGAGGGGAAAGGGAGAGGGTTCCAAGCTGAGCCATGCTGGCTCAGGAATTCTGGGAGTTGAAGTCCATGAGTCACAAAGGGACCATCGTTCCCCCATGGTGGCTCAGGAATTCTGGGAGTTGAAGTCCGCGAGTCATAAAAGAGTTAAGGTTGCCTACCCCTGGCCTAGGACATCTTAGAGAACGGCAACAGTGAAAAAAGAGTTTTGTGTTTTCCAGAGAGCTGATGGAGACAGAAGAGAAGACAGGCAGCCCCGTTGCCACAGTGAAGGCAGCTCAGACGGTAAGTGCCCTTACACAGAACCTACTCACTGCCTCGCTGTTTATCTCAGCCAGCTTTCCACACATCGTGTTAAGCCGCAGGGAGTGCTGGACTGACAATCGCCACAGGGACGGAAATTTCCCGTTGCTGAGCAAACCGATCGTTCGGTGGGTCACCCCCAATTTTAGGACCTTTTTGCCAAGGCTCTTCAGCCAATCTGCCTTTCCCCCAGTGAGTTTGCTGGTCAACAGCTGGCTAGGAAGGTTGCAAACGGCAATTGACATTGCCCCGGGTTGCAGCAACCGTTGTAAGTTCATGCCAGTTTCCAAGCAAAGCGTGCGGATTTTGATCACGTAACCATGGGGATGCTGAGATGGTCGTAAGTGCGAGCCCTGGTCAGAAATCAGTTTTTTTTTCTGGGCTGTTGCTAAATGAACGGTTGGAAGTTGAGGACTGCCTGTATCTGTTAAATAACCCACAATTGGCTGAGTACAGACAGCACCCCATGGCTGTGAAAATGTAGTTGATGATGACGACAACAACAACAACAAAATAATAATAATAGTAATAGTAATAATAATAATAATAACAACAACAACATAACACCCCAGACTTAATAATTGTCGATAAGAAAGACAAAAAAGTCTGGATAGTGGACGTGGCAGTGCCTGGAGACAGCAGAATAGATGAGAAAAAACTGGAGAAGATAACAAAATATAAAGACCTACAAATAGAAATAGAAAGACTGTGGCAAAAGCAAGCAAGGGTAGTACCAATAGTCATAGGCGCCTTGGGTGCAATCCCAAAACAACTGGAGCACCACTTGAACACCATTGGCATTGACAAATTCGCTATTAGTCAATTGCAAAAGGCGGCCTTATTAGGAACTGCTTCCATCCTGCGACGATATCTGTAATACCATCAAACATCCACATCTGCCTATCCCAGGTCCTGGGTAAGGACTCGATAGGTAGACAAAATGCTAAATCCAGTCTGAACATCTGGCTGACTGTGCGATGATCCATAATAATATCATCATCATCATCATCTTTGTGTGTTCCTTCCCATATGTAGAATCCAGGAACAAAAGACCAGATTCCAAAAATGATAAAGATTTTAAGTGGGGAAATGGCCATTGAATTGCACCTGCAGTTTTTAATACGAAACAACAACACGGACCTCATGATTCTAAAAAACACTAAGGTAAGGCCTCTATGTGTATGTGAGAGAGGGGGGAGGGAGGGAGAGAGTGTGTTTGTTTTGTGGCTTGCCTGAAGGCTGAATAACACACCTTAAAAGACTTGCAGAAGGTTGAAGATGCTATCATAGATGATGTTACCTTGTTAGGTAATGAAATATCTGCAAGAAAACCTTGAGGATTCTTTTCTTGCCCTACTTTTTTCCTTCCCAATGACATATCTCCGATGTAGACCAGGACAACCTCTTTTTAAATTATGAAAATTCAAAGAAAAGCTGACAGGCAGTATTCAGATATATTCCCCAGGCACGTTGGCAGTTCATGTGGTCTACAGCCATATCATCCTGCATGCATAGAACAAGTTAAAATTGTGGCAAAATTCTTCCTTTGGAGATGAGACTAACTTCTAGTTTTATTCTGAAATCAGACTGGTTTAAATCCTTACAGTGTTATCGTTAGAAATAGGTATTCACCTTTTTGCTTCGTCTGTTTGCAAGTGGCCGAGATCGCAGGTTAATTCCTCAAAGGCGGAATCTCTAAGGAGGGTGGAAATTGTCCACCCTCCATCCAACATGAAATGTAAAGCTGCTTTATGTAGCTTGATCAGTTTTACTCAACTCTGGCAGCTTTAAGATCCGTGGACTTCAACTCCCAGAATTCCCCAGCCAGCATGTGGAGATTCCACGTTGAGGAATTAACCTGGATCTCATGGCTGGTTGGGGAATTCTGGGAGTGAAAAGTCCACGAATCTTAAAAGTTGCTAAGGTTGAACAATATTGATCTTGATGCTCAATATGTCCAAATTCATCCATTTTTTTTCTTAGAAGAACTATTCCCTATTTTTTTAATTGAATTGTTCCAGCAGAACATTTTTAGCATAAAATAGGATGCTGGAGATTCTTAGCCATCCAGGTTATAGTTATGCCACAGTGTGAAAAAAGAGTTTTGTGTTTTCCAGAGAGCTGATGGAGACAGAAGACTGGGGCAACTGGACTTCCTTGTTTTTCTTTGAAGACATTTTGCTTCTCATCCCAGAAGCTTCTTCAGCTCTGACTGGAGGGTGGGGAATGGAAGGATTTATACGCCTTGCAGACAGCTGGTCATTTGCCTTCTTTTAGAGAGCCGTTGAAGCCACCTGGAGGTCATCTAGGTCAAAATTGAACAGCCCTCCCTCAACAGAGGGGGAGGGATACAATATCATGTATCTCCAGTCTACAACACGGTCCTTTCAGTGGTTCTAAGAAGGCTCCACACCCATTTTCACCACTCAGGTCACCCTGAGGGCACAGATAAACCTCCAAGTGGCCTCAACAACCCTCTAAAAGAAGGCAAATGACCAGCGGTCTGCAAGGCGTATAACTCCTTCCATTCCCCACCATCCAGTCAGAGCTGAAGAAGCTTCTGGGATGAGAAGCGAAACGTCTTCCCAAAAAAAAACAAAGTCCAGTTGCCTCCTGAAAAAAAAAAAAGCACCTTTGGGACTGATCAATATTTTATTGCTCTTAGGATATCTATTGTGTAGTAGAAGAAGAAATAAATGAGTTTGGTGATAAAATGAGGGATGTGAGAGATTAAGAATTAGAACTGATAATTTTATGTTTTAAATTTACATTATTGTAATTGTAAACTGGTAAAGTTATAATACAGGTTTAATAGTGATAGAAATGTATAGAAATGGAATATTTAAAGGTATTACGTTAACTGAGGGGAATAGAGAGGGGATAGTGAAGTTTATTGAGTTGCGTTGTTTATATATATTTTTACTTTTGAATGTATGACCACCCAACCATCACGATGGGTCCTGAGTACTTTTTCTTAAGAATTTAAAAAAAAATCAATAAAATGTCTTTAAAAAAAAAAAAAGCACTTTTGGGCTATGATGCTGTACAGTAATGGAAACAGGCCATTTTTAGCCCAGTCACCGGGAAGTGGACATCGAAATCCTGAATTTAGAGTTTTCGAAATGAAGGATGTATCTGGAATTCCCACGATGGTTTTTTTTTTTTTTTTTTTTTTTTGAAATCCCTCCGTTCAGCTTTTCAAGATTCAAGACAGACCCAACCCTGCGCTACAAATGATATTTTGCCAGCCTCTGTTGTGTCCTTTTGTGTTGTTGTGACCTTCTGCTCTCCTCTTTCTCCAGGATGCGGTGCGGAATTCTGTGTGTCATACCGCCACTGTCATCGCCAATTCCTTCATGCATTGTGGAACAACCAGCGACCAGTTCCTCAGGTAACACCACATAGCGGGGCAGAATAATGAGTCTTTGACCAATGGGCAATAGGCTGGCAGAGAAGGAAGTGTTGCACTTTGCACGCGGACCAGGAACAGACTTTCTGGGAACTTCTGTGGCGTGCGTCAGATCAATCTGTATACACTCGTACCTTCATACTCCACTTACCATATATGCCGGTGTACAAGGCGACCCGGCGTATAAGACAACCCCCGTCTTTGTCGCCGAGCTGTATTCCTAGAACGTCATCTTATACGCCGGAAACTACCAGTATTTCTGGCGTATAAGATGACTCGGCGTATAAGACAACCCCCGTCTTTGGTGCCGATTTTAGCGCTTGCGGAAGTCGCTTTATATGCCAGCATATACAGTACTTCAAAACTCATCAGATTCAATATTTGATGTGTTTTGAAGCAGAACTGCTGTCCCGGCGCTCCTCTTTCTCCTGGGAGTTGATACTCAAGGAAGAGCTTGCTCATGTTGGCTGGCTCGTGACTCACTATTTGTGATGACCCAGGGCACAGCACAGAGGCAATGCAGTCAGCTGGCAATTCAAATTGCCCTTTAATTGCTCCAAATTTTCCCCAAATGCTCCCCCATTTCTGGCAAGGCTCCAAACAAAGGAACACACACCTCTGGCTGCAAGTTGTTTCACATACAATCTGAGAAGGAGAGGAATTTACTCAAGGCCACGGAGATAAGAAAGAATGACACATACAACATAAACCTAAGGAGTCTGTGTAAATGCACACTTGCCTGAGCAGTTTCAGAAGGGAAGCCAAAATACAGTCCGGGTTCTTCAAACATCCAAGCCACGTTGTCAGCCAGTCCAATGGTCAGAGTTTCCGGGGTTTCCAAGCAGAAGTCACAGAACAAGAGATCAGCAACAACACACACAAAACTCCAAGGAATCAGCGTTTGTTCCCGACAAATGCCTCTCCCCACAGCATCTCCTTAAGTCTCAGTCTCCAGGTGTGCCTTGTGGAGAGGGGCGGGACGCTCTCCTCCTGAGTAGCTGAGCCTGCCTACGGTTGTTCCCTCCTCCTCTCCACTCTCTGTGCTCTAGGATCAGGTGGGGGTGGCCTTTGCTCATCACCTGAGCTCTGCCTCTCCTGTTCAGCCTGTCCCACACCTGAAGGGCCCTGGCCTGCCTCGGCCTGCTCTTCCCCACATTCCTCTGAAACCACAGACCCCTCTCCCTCAGGGTCCTGATGGAGGTCTTCATTTGACCGACCTGGGAAGGACAGAAGGCTGAGACAACCTTGCGCCGGTTAGGATCGAACTACTGACAGTGGACAGAGTCAGCCTGCAGTACTGCACTCTAACCACTGCTTAAACGACCCAGATTTAATTTTCCATTTTCTTTCCGCAGAGATAATTTGGAGTGGCTTGCGAGAGCTACCAACTGGGCCAAGTTTACCGCTACGGCCAGCCTTGGTGTCATTCATAAGGTAATAAGACCTTTTTGTTGTTGTTATTGCACTGGATCTGATTCTCTCCCCCCCCCCCCAGCCTCTCTCAACCCCTCGGTGATCATGAAATGATTGAAGTCCCCTCTCTCCAGATTGCAATTCTGACTTACCTTTCAGACAAGGATGAGGCGAGTTATTGAGCTATCTCAGCTGATACATAATTAGGGTATTTTTACCTTGAATGTACACCCTGTCAGCCCAAATATGGGAGAAAGAAATCTTCTTTCTTTTTTCTTTTTCTTTTGCCGGTATCAGCTCAATCTAGAGCCATCCACAAGCAGCAGTCGACATCATTTTACATTTACAAAAGAAAAAGAAAAAAGAAAGAAGATTTCTTTCTCCCATATTTGGGCTGACAGGGTGTACATTCAAGGTAAAAATCTCCTCCCCCTGTCTCTCTCCTGATAGCTAACAGAGTGGGAGAGAACCTGTGGCTTAGAGGTTATAACAACTGCCTAACATGCAGATAAGCCCAGGTTCGAATCTCAGAAGAGTAAGTCTGGCTGAAGAGAGTTAATGGAACTCGAAATAGCTATACCAGTTCTCTCTTTATTCTTTGTTAGCAACCTAAAAATTAGGGTATTGTATACTTTTGGTTCCTTGCACACCCCTTCATGATTTGGGAATGTGACATACATTTATTATGGGAAGGAATTTTTACAAGTCCACGCTCGAGCGCATTTATATCTAGTGGGGATCATGGGAGAATGAAAGAAAAAAGCTTTGAATGGGCCAGATGTGATTGTTAGGAGAAAGCATATGGTTACAGGGTGTAAGCCAGGGGTCTTCAAACTTGGCCCTTTTATGACTTGTGGACTTCAACTCCCAGAATTCCTCAGCCAGGCACGCCTGGCTGAGAAATTCTGGGAGTTGAAGTCCGCAAGTCATGAAGGGCCCTAGTTCCCCCACGCTGGCTGAGGAATTCTGGGAGTTGAAGTCCGTGAGTCATGAAGGGGCCCTAGTTCTCCCACGCTGGCTGAGGAATTCTGGGAGTTGAAGTCCGTGAGTCATGAAGGGGCCCTAGTTCCCCCACGCTGGCTGAGGAATTCTGGGAGTTGAAGTCCGTGAGTCATGAAGGGGCCCTAGTTCCCCCACGCTGGCTGAGGAATTCTGGGAGTTGAAGTCTCCGAGTCATGAAGGGGCCCTAGTTCCCCCACGCTGGCTGAGGAATTCTGGGAGTTGAAGTCCGTGAGTCATGAAGGGGCCCTAGTTCCCCCACGCTGGCTGAGGAATTCTGGGAGTTGAAGTCCACAAGTCATAAAAGGGCCAAGTTTGAAGACCCGTGGTGTAAGCATTTAAATGGGATCCGCCACTTATAATAGAAACGGTAACTTTAATACATTCCTTTTCCTCCCAAGAGTTCAGTTCAGTTAACAAAACAAAGCAACAGGCCCAAACAATGTTAAGTTACAAGTAGTCCTTGACTTATGACCACAATTGAGCCCCCAATTTCTGTTAAGTGAGACATTTGTTAAGTGAGTGGATACTTTCTTGCTGTATTGTTGCTGTAGTTGACACGTTCATAAGACGGTTGTTAAGTGAATCTGGCTTCCCCATTGATGGTCAAAAGGTCGTAAAAGGGGATCACCTGACCTTGGGACACTGCAACCGTCACAAGTGTGAGTCAGTGGCCAAGTGTCCGAATTTGGACCACATGATCATGGGGATGCGACAAAGGTCATAAGTGTGACAAACGGTCATAAGGTGATTTTTTTCCAGTGCCATCGTCACATTTGTTGTGGAAAAACCCAATGAAAAAGACAAGAGACAGCAGCACAAAACCATCATTCTTACCTTAAGATTCAGAGGTTTATTTTGCTAATGATTTGGAACATACCAAGCGTAATAACAAAACATCACTTACATTAATAACCCGTTGCAATGAGGACCACGTGGCATAGCACATTCCAAAAGGACAGCTATAGGCCAATGGCAAATCAATCAGGTGCAGACCCGACTCTTTATACCCTTTCTCGTTCTAAGACTGTAGTCTAGTGGTTCTCAACCTTTTTAATGCCGCGACCCCAACCGGTCGTAAGTCGAGGACTACCCAACCGGTCGTAAGTCAAGGACTACCCAACCGGTCGTAAGTTGAGGACTTTCCCTGCCCAGGAGCGCCATGCATGATGGTGCTGCCCCCTGCGCCGGCTGAGGCGTAGCTAGCAAGCGGCAGAGACGGAGCAGGCCAACCAACGGCTGGGCCACCAGCTGGCCCAGCCCAAGTGAGGCAAGACACCCGCCGGGCCCCACGCACACCAGCAACTCTCCCTGCGCCTGCCGGCCTCCCACCTCCCACCCCTGGCCCCCTTTTACTTACATTTTTAGTAGTTGCTCAGCAGGGAGGGGTGGAAACTTCCAGACAGCTCGCCTTCGCTGCAGACAACTTGCAGCACTGTTTGCAGACTGGGACTTTTGGCGGGCTCAGCAGGGCAGAGACAGCCTGGGCAATTCCTATTGGCTTTTGAAAGCCAATAGAATTAGACTCTATTCAAGAGAGTCTATTCTATTGGCTTTCAAAAGCCAATAGAATAAAAGGGAGGAGCACAGCTAAGGAAAAGGGGAAAAAAATGGCGGACTGCGTTGTTTGGCGACCCCCATGAAATGGTCGTTCGACCCCAAATGGGGTCCCGACCCACAGGTTGATAACCGCTGGCCTAAACCTAAAAGAACAATAGCCTCACATGGAAAAGGTCGCTAAAGGAACCGTTGTAAGTCAAGGACTAACTGTATGTATTAAAATGGCGTAATGACTTCCTGGATTTCTAAGGTTGCCCAATGGGGGGGGGGGGAAATTACTCTCTTAAAAGCTATCTTGTAACAATTTTTTAAGGCAGGAAAAAGAGATTTTTTTTTTTAGAAAGGTGGTGGAAGGCGAAAGAATGGATTTTCACCGGCCTTTTGTTCTATTCTGCTGGCTTCCTAGGGTCACGAAAAGGAAGCCCTTCAGCTGATGGCCACGTACCTGCCCAAGGACACCTCTCCGGGCTCTGCCTACCAGGAAGGGGGCGGTCTCTACGCCCTGGGGCTCATCCATGCCAACCACGGAGGCGACATCATTGACTACCTGCTCAACCAGCTGAAGAACGCCAGCAACGACGTACGTGCCACCACCACGCCTAATGGCAGGTCCAGCGGAAACCTTAGGCCAGGCAGGGCTGCGTTCCTTGGGCTGCTGAGACTTGGCCCAGGGCTCTGTTCCCTTATCCTGGACATGAAAAGTGCTCTTAAATCACAAAACCATTCCAAAGATCTCATGAGGGGTCCTTGGTGCTGCCTGAGCTGGATTGTTTTCTTGCAGACGTTTCATGACCGAAGTAGGGAACATCATCAGTGCTAGAAGTGGAGGGGGGAGTTGCGCTGATGATGGTACCTAGTTTGGGTCATGAAACGTCTGCAAGGAAACAACTAAGCTCAGAGAGCACCAAGGACCACACAGTTCTCCTCCTCCTCCTCTTTCCTCCTCTTTTCTCCTCCTCTCACCCCCACCTCCACAAACCCACTCCCTTCCAGCACTGATGACGTTCGCTAGTTGGGTCATGAAACGTCTCCAAGAAAACAACCAAGCTCAGAGAGCATGAAGGACCCCACAGTCCTTTCCCTCTCCTCCTCCTCCTCCTCCTCCTCCTCCTCCTCCTCCTGGCACTGATGATGTTCCCTAGTTGGGTCATGAAACATCTGCTAGAAAACAACTAAGCTCAGAGACCCCCAAAACCCCCATAGTCGTCCTCCTCTTCCTCCTCCTCCTCCTCCTCCTCCTCCTCCTCCTCTTCTCTTTCCTCCTCCTCCTCCCATCCACAAACCCACTCCTTTCCAGCACTGATGATGTTCCCTAGTTTGAGTCATGAAACATCTGCACGAAAAAAACCCCACCAAGCTCAAAGACCATCAACAAACCCCTCATTTCAACCCTGAGCTACCAATATTCTCCTGTATTACTAGAAAATCAAATGCCCAGGGTCACTGTGAATGAAGAACAGAAGCTTAAGAGAAAAAAGGTTGGGGTATTGTAGCAGTGAAGATGTCGGAACAGAAGGAGGGGACCAGGTTCTCGCCCTCCCCCCCCCCCAGCCACGGAAGCTCTCTGAGGGATCTTGGGCCAGAACACTCCCCCTCAGCTCATTAACCAGGGTGGGGTAGTAGGCAAAGTGTTGAACCAGCAGGGAGACCTACCATAGTTGTAATCCCTCTCCAGTCCCAGGACGACTTTGGGCAGGCCCAACCTATCTTACAAGGTTGTTGTGAAGAAAAATGGCAGAGAAGGGTACGTAACGGTAGTCCCTGGAGCCTGCCCACTAGTGTTGTACGTTGTGACGGTCGCAAAACGGGTAACTCGTGTGACTGACTGGCATTTGCAAACCTTTCTGAGACGGTCATTAAGCAGAGATGGCCGTCGTGAAACAAGGGCAGCGGTCATTAAGCCCCTCATAATTAGCTAGGGCCCGGTTTTGCTGAAAACCAGATATCAACATTCAGGTCGAGAATCCAAATAGAACTCCGGATTCATTCCGTGTCCAAAAATCTTAATTGCTTATTGAATACACCGCATGGTTATGTCGAAGTAAAACCAACTCTGAGGTTCCCACGCCAGTTCATAGATTTAAGCAATAATTTTCCCAGCCAAAACCCCCAACCTCTTAACATTAGTTCCTATCAAGTCCACTTTGTTATGGGAACTGTCTGCTTCGAATCCACACCTGTTCTGGTGTCCTTGACAAGGCTTCAGGCTCTCACGGTCTTCAGCTGAAGTGAAGAGGTTTCATTTCTCCATTTAACCCACTTGAAAGTAATATCTCTCCCCCTCCCTTAAGCACAATGAAACGCAGAGGCACGTAGCTGCCAAAGTTTCATTCTTGACACCAGAAGTAACTTCCGCTTTTCAGCAGAACTGTCCTAAAAAGTCCGGTTTTCAGCAAAAAAAAAAAAAAGTCGCTGTGGGGTGCTCCGAGCAGCCATAAACGCCAGCTGTGTTGCCCAGCGCAAAAGTTGTGGTCACAGGATGGGGTGTGTGTGTCTGTGTCACAACTTTGAAACCTGGAAGGTCGGTAAGCAACCTGTTGTCATGGTTCCGACAGATGAAACTCTTCAAAGAACTTCGAGGCATTGTTTACCTTGAAGAATCTTTATTCGAGAAGCATAGCATCGGCACTGACATAGCCAAAGTCAAAATCTGAATCCCCCTCCCCTGAGCACATAGTATCAAAGCACAATTCCCTCCTCTAATTTACAGTCATAAATCACATTCTCCAATTAGTTTGAAAGGCAGGCTTTCTTTCCAGTTCTCCAGCCCTGCCAATTCTTATCATCTCTTCTTTCAATAACCTTGGTTCTCACACTAGGTCCAGTATTGTTATGTCTAGCTAAACTCTCATGTACATTCCTCCTCCTCCCCTCCCAGTGTCATCTAATTCTAACTCTTAACTCTATGAGTAAAGCACAAGAAGGAAAATGGTTGCAACTCCATATGTTGTCAAAGCAAGAACATCCGAAGTTAGCAGCGTTAACACCTATTGTAAATCGAAGATTACTTGTATAACATCTTGAGCTCTTAACCTAACAGTTAAAAAAAACCCCGTTATTGGATTAGGAGACATCCAGATTTTAAGTCCGTCCGCAGACAAGGTTTGAAGTTGAGCAAGAAGTTGAAAAGCGGTTCCTTCAATTCCCAGATTTGGCTGCCTTCTCTCCAGGATTGGAGCCCAAAGGGTCTTCTTGCTTATTATTATTTTATTTTATTTTGCAGATAGTTCGGCACGGGGGAAGCCTGGGGCTGGGCTTAGCTGCCATGGGGACAGCACGTCAAGACGTCTATGATCTCCTCAAAACCAATCTGTACCAAGATGACGCAGTGACCGGTCAGTTTCTGGCATCTAAGAATCTTAAGATTCTTGGTGTTCATGGCCTTGTGTTTTATGATGGTTGTTATAGTAGTCAGAATAGACCTGGAAGGGGCCAAAATTTCTGCTTATTTGAAGGATCATTCACAAGAAAGATACATCTCGATGTGGAGAAGATGGATAAATTATGTACAGAATAAATATGGGCTTAGAAAGTATCATTTAGTTTTTGAATAACTTACAGTTTAAAGTGGGAATTGTTTATGTTGTTATTTTTGTTTTTCTTTGAAATCTTCCTGTATTTGAGTTAAAGTGTTTTAGGGATTTGGTTATTGGTATAGTTGGATAAGCTTAGTTAGAATTTGTTTGCTTATTTGTAACCCTGTAATCAGCTCTGGGAAGTGAGGGGGGGGGTTAGGGTTAGGGTGGGGGGGAGGGAGGGAGGGATATTGTAATAAAATAGAAAATTTGTATAAAACTTTTCAATTAAAAAAAAAAAAAGAATAGAGCTGGAAGGGACCTTGGAGGTCTTCTACTCCAGCCCCCTGCTGAAGCAGGAGAACCTATACTAGACATGTCAAACTCGCAACGTCACGTGACATTGCGCAACGTATCGGGTTTATCTGTGTCCTCGGGGTCACCTGAGTGGTGTAAATGGGTGTGGAAACTTTTTGGAACTGCTGAAAGGAAGGGGCCATAATTCCCCCACGCTGGCTGAGGAATTCTGGGAGTTGAAGTCCACGAGTCATAAAAGAGCCAAGGTTGCCTAACCCTGGTATAGGGCTTCCTGCCTGAGCAGGGGGTTGGACTAGAAGACCTCCAAGGTCCCTTCCCACTTGATTGTTCTGTTAATTTAAAACCACCCATCTCTGAGGGACAGCTGGCTGCGGAATTCTGGGAATTGAAGTCCACGCCACTTCAAATTGCTGGTTAATGACCGACTTGAGAGTCTGTCAGATCAAAGAAGTCATCTATCTTTTTTTTTCCCCAATATAATTTTTATTATGACTTTTATTCGCCAGTAGCATAAAAGATGAAAGTATGTAAGCAAAGAATAGGGAATCCTCCATCCGTCTTGATTCCGCTTTATTCTTTCCCACCTGAAAGGCGAAGCTGCCGGTCTGGCTCTGGGCCTGGTGATGCTGGGATCCAAAAACGCCCAGGCCATCGAGGACATGGTGGGCTATGCCCAGGAGACCCAGCACGAGAAGATTTTAAGGGGCTTGGCGGTGGGCATCGCCCTGGTGATGTACGGTCGGATGGAGGAAGCCGATGCCCTCATAGAGAGCCTCTGCAGAGATAAGGTGAGTTTTTTTCCCCCTCTTTCTCAGTGCTCTTTTCTTTTTTTTTAGAAAGAACTGCCAATATTTGACTTTTGAGCATCTATTCCCCTACCTGGTGCTTTCTGGGAGATGACTAGGGGTTACGAAGGGCCATTTTGGTCCAGTGGTTCAAGCACCAGGCTAGAAAGCAGGAGAGCAAGAGTTCAAGTCCTACCCTAGCCGTGAAAGAATGACTTTGGGCCGATCACCAGGAGACGGGGAATTCTAGTCCTGCCTTAGCAATGAAATCTGACTGGGTGACTTTGGGCCGATCACCAGGAGACGGTGAGTTCTAGTCCTGCCTTAGGCATGAAAGCTGCCTGGCTGTCTTTAGGCCGATCACCAGGAGATGGTGAGTTCTAGTCCTGCCTTAGGCATGAAAGCCGGCTGGGTGACTTTGTACCAGTCACCAGGAGACTGAGAGTTATAGTAGCATCTTAGACAGGAAAACAGCTAGGTGACTTTGGGCCAGCCAGCAGGAGATGGTGAGTTCTAGTCCCGCCTTAAGCATGAAAACAGCTAGGTGACTTTGGGACAATCCCCAGGAGACGGTGAGTTCTAGTCCTGCCTTAGGCATGAAAGCCGGCTGGATGACTTTGGGCCAATCACCAGGAGACGGTGAGTTCTAGTCCTGCCTTACGCATGAAAGCTACCTGGCTGTCTTTGGGCCAATCACCAGGAGATGGTGAGTTCTTGTCCCGCCTTAGGCATGAAAACAGCTAGGTGACTTTGGACCAATCCCCAGGAGTCGGTGACTTCTAGTCCCGCCTTAGGCATGAAAGCCGGCTGGGTGACTTTGGGCCAATCACCAGGAGACGGTGAGTTCTAGTCTCACCTTTAGGCAGCTGGGTGGCTTTGGGCCAGTCCCTCTCTGTCAGTCCAACCCACCTCACACAGAGTTGTTGTTGTGGGGAAAATTGGAGAGAAGAAAAAGAAAACAACAGCCTAACCAAGGAATCACCAAGAAGAAAACAACAATCCCTACCAACACTGATAAGAAAAGCTATTAGTATATAAACAGAGCAACCCCGCCTCCCTCTTGCACTGATGCTGTTTCCTAGTTGGGTCGTGAAACGTCTCCAAGAAAGTAGCCCAGCTCAGAGAGCACCGAGGACCCCACAGTTCAACCCCGAGCTACCGATATTTTCTTTTATCGGTTTCTAATCAATCTTATTAATTCATCCCGATGAAGCCTTCCCTGGCATGGCTTTGGATAGAGATCTTTCTAGGCCTTCCTGGAGATCAATTTGTGGGCATAAACAGTGATCCCGGCCCTGAATTTGACCCTGTTTTTTCCTTTTCTTTTTTCCCTCCCCAGGACCCAATTCTCCGCCGTTCGGGGATGTATACCGTCGCAATGGCTTATTGCGGCTCAGGAAACAACAAAGCCATCAGGCGTCTGTTGCACGTGGCGGTGAGAGCTCCTTACTCTGGAGTAAACCGTAGAAATTGGAATGAATGAATGAATGAATGTAGTCCTCAACTTACAACTGTTCATTTCGTGACGGTTCGAAGTTACAACGGCCCTGGAGAGAGTGACTTACGATTGTTTTTCACACTCAGCGACCGTTGCAGCATCCCCAGGGTCACATGACCAAAATCCAGATGCTTAGCAACTGACATGGACTTATGACAGTTGCAGTCAGCCTGCGGTGTCCCTGGGTTCGTGGGATCCCCTTTTGCGACCAACTGACAGTGGGGAAGCCAGATTCACTTAACAACCATGTTATATTAGGCCGATCCCCAAAAATCAAATTGGGGCTTACTTTCGGGGGGGGCTTGCTTTTGGGGAAACACAGCATCTGGCTGACGATCTTAACTGGGGCTTATTTTGGGGGTAGGGCTTATACTACGAGCATCCTGAAAAATCAGGCTTGTTTTCCAATTAGGATTTATTTTCAGGGAAACAAGTAATAATTATTCAGGAAACGAGTAATAAATCCTCTGCGCGAGTGATTTCCATATATTTAGCCTAATTTCTGCTCCTTTTTTTTTTTTCCTTTTTCGTAGGTGAGCGATGTGAACGATGACGTCAGACGGGCGGCTGTGGAATCTCTGGGCTTTATTTTGTTCAGGTACAATCGCCATTTTCCCGCAACCCGGTCGGAGCCAGATTTTTTTTTGTCTCTTGACGTTCCGAGTATTGGTTTGTCCTGTGTAAAGCGGTTGGGTTTTTTTTTGTTGTTGTTGTTGTTGTCGTTGTTGAGACTGGCTGGGAAGCTCTGGTTCCGATTTCCAGCGATGGTCTCCAGTTCGCACGAGAGGACCGTTCCTTGGTGCTTGCGCGAAACCTCCGCGAAAAAGCTGGCTCGGTTGATCAAATATTGTCGGCTGGGAAAAAAAAATATTTCGGAGTTCTTGTGGGTGGGATTTTAAAAAGCGTGGGGGAAGGGGAGAAATCTTCCATGTTTAAAGTCAGGATGGGGGAGGGAAGGAGGACTGTAGGGTCCTTAGTGGTCTCTCAGCTGGATTGTGGCTTGTTTTCTTACAGACGTTTCATTACCCAACTAGGTAACATCATCAGTGAGAGAAGGGAGTGGGGTTTGTGGAAAGGAGGAGAGAAGAGGACTCTCTCGCTTCTCTAGAACAGGGGTGTCAAACTCAATTTCATTGAGGGCCTCATCAGCATTGCGGTTGCCTTTGGGGGAGGCGGGGGTGTGTGGCCAGGGTGTGTGTGGCCTACTGGGTGGGTGTGGATGGAGTGGGTATGGCTTATTGGGTGGGCCTGGCCAGCTTTACATCGTTCGATTCAAGGGGGCCTGTGGGGGCCTGGGCAGGAGTGGGACAGATCTGAGGGTCTCTGGCAGAAGGGGGTGGGACCGGGGCAAACGCCAAGGCATGGTCCACTGGAGGAGCCTCACTGCCTGCTGAAACCCCTTCCCCGGAGCCCATCAAGCCGGATATGTGAAGTAGGTGAGGGCCATTTGCTGGCCACTTCCAGGCGATGGTGCATTTCTTCATTCCTCACAAAGGGTGACACCTCCCCAGCATGCACCCAGGGGCCGGGGCTGGTTCCTCGCTGTTTCCAGACGGCCTTGTGGAGCTAAGACTGAATGGGTTTCAGCATAGAGGGCCACCACAAAATTGTACATTGGCTCCCGGCCGACCTGGGCCAGGGCCAAGGCAGCGGGGGCCGTTCCCTCACTGTTTCCAGGATGGCTTTGCGGGCCACATGAAACCACTTTGCGGGCCACAACCGGGCCCCGGGCCTTGTGTTTGACATGTCTGCTCTAGAAGGTCAACTGGGAGGACATTAGAAATTCAGAACTACAGTAGTGGCCAAAACTGTGGAAACCTTTTGGGGAAAGTGTCCAGTAGAAATGCCACCTTTGGTTGAGTTTTCACCCATTTTTATTCTAATTTCTTTATAACTGTAGCCTTGTTCACTTAATAACACTATTTTACATCGCTTTCTGGGTGACCAGTCAGCTCTTTGCACCATGCCTTTGATTTTACTATGTTTTACAAGCTCACCAAATGAAAGAACACAAAAAACCCCAACCAACTTGATAGCGATCACACAACACACTGACCAGTGTCCTCCTCTCAGCTTCAATACATGACATCAATCACTGGATCCTACTGTGATCTGATTGGCTCATGTCCAAAATAAAATGACACCTGATTGGCTCTCTAAACACTCGTGCTCATTGGCTACAATCAGATGAAGGAAAGCTCGCTGAGATCAACCTAAGCAAGTTATGCTTCCTTTTTTTGGTTATTTGGCTATAACTTTTCATAGAATACAGTACAGAGAATTGAACAAACTTTGCTGCATTACATTCTTGATTAAATTATCTTTCCATTGAGATATAATTTTATAGTACTGCTCCCCCCAAAAAGTGGTGTTATTAGCCATCAAACCTCAAAAATACAACTTTTCCCAAAAGGTTTCCACAATTTTGGCCACTACTGTATATAAAACAGAATTTCTAACAGGGACAGTTACTCTCTCATAGGGTTGTTGCAGGGAAAAAATAAGGCCCAGGAGCATTATGGACATCTGCTTGAGTTGCACAATTAAAAACATAAATCTAATAATAGCTTTGTATTGTTTTTATAGACCTCATTTGCGTCTACAACGGGAGAGACAGATTTGAAATGATTTGATTGACAGCTCCGTCCGTTCCGACGCGTGTTTTGTAACAACTCTTTTTCATTGGTTTGTGGTTTAAATTTTAATTATAAGTGGCTTGTTGTTGTTGTTGTTAATTGTAAAGTCGTGTCTGACCCATCGCGACCCCATGGACAACGTTCCTCCAGGTCTTCCTGTCTTCTACCATCTTCTGGAATCCATTTAAGTTCACACCTACTGCTTCAGTGACTCCATCCAGCCACTTCCTTCTCCATCGTCCTGTTCTTCTGTTGCCCTCCATCTTTCCCAGCATCAGGCTCTTCTCCAATGAGTCCTTCCTTCTCATTAGGTGGCCAAAGTACTTGAGTTTCAACTTCAGGATCTGGCCTTCTAAAGAGCAGTCGGGGTTGATCTCCTGCAGGACTGACCGGTTTGATCGCCTTGTAGTCCAAGGGACTCGCAGGAGTCTTCTCCAGCACCAGAGTTCAAAGGCCTCCATTCTTTGGCGCTCAGCCTTTCTTATGGTCCAACTTTCACAGCCATACATTGCAACTGGGAAAACCATGGCCTGGACTATACGCACTTTTGTTGGCAGGGTGATGTCTCTGCTTTTTAGTATGCTGTCTAGATTTGCCATAGCTTTCCTCCCCAGGAGCAAGCGTCTTTTAATTTCTTGGCTGTAGTCCCCATCTGAGGTGATCTTTGAGCCCAGAAAAATAAAATCGGTCACTACCTCCATTTCTTCCCCATCTATTTGCCAGGAATTGTGAGGGCCGGATGCCATGATTTTGGTTCGTATTTTTCATAAGCATTCGTATTTGATGAGAATGGCGTATAAACGTTTGTAAAAGTAAATAATACATTAAGCTGGTTTTCCATTCCATTCACAGCCGGTGTGGTTTGTGTCAATTGCAGTAGTTATGTTCAGAATTATCATCTCTTTGCTTCAGAGTTGTACTTCGGAAGACGCTTTATGTCAGTAACGAGTAGATTTAACATCTGGGAGATTTAATCCCCAGAAACCCCAAATTCTCATACTTCAAATGAAAGAACAAGGCATGTGTGGGTTTAATGATGAATGCACATTTGGAAAAGGTGGTGTAAAAAAATTTTTTTTTGTACAATATTTTATTAATTTTCCAATTTTACATTTGAATATTTAAAAAGCAACGTGGTGACTCGGTTAGTTAATAGTTCAATAGCAAAATCTTAGTGCAAATCTCAAATTACAACATCAAATATTTCTTCTCTTTCTTCCCTTAACATTTACTGTCTCATATTCAGATTAGTACGTTTCTAATTATATATCAACTCAATAAGAACATCATTATTACATTTATCAATAAATGTTTAGCTTATACATATCTTAATTACAGTTCAATCGTCATAAACAACCCATATCCTGCTGTTGATTTTTACTCAATTTTTAATTTCTTAAATTGGAATATTGATAGGTTGTGTAAATTTTGAAGCAGCGCCTGCATCTGAGAGTTGTTTCTGCTTTTTGAGAATAACATCAACTGCAAATTGATTCGATTTGGAATTGTTTCCGCTATGTGTTCAAAATGCATAGTGATACATATCAGGGGTCCCCAACCTGCGGGCCGTGGCCTGGTGGCGGGCCACAGTCTGCTTGCCACCGGGCCATGGGACAGGCTGGCATGTGTGAGCACACCCCCCCCCCACTCGTGCTACCGCCATGGCTGCCCAGCGTGAAAATAGGACGCCAAGCGGTGCAAAAATGGGCAGCTGCCACGCCTTGGGATGTGAAAATGGGACGCCAAAATGGGATGCCACCGTGCTGCAGGGCGCGAAAACAGGCTGACACTGCGCTACAGGACGCAAATACGGCGGAAACGGGGTGCTGTGCCACGCAAGAAGGGGGCAGGGCTAGCAAGTACCACGCAAGCGTTAGCCCCGCCCCGTTCTGTCACGCGTGTGCTTGCGGCCCCGTGCATTCGCTTGCACACGTGTTTGTAAAATGCTGTCCCCTCCCTTTCCCTCTGGTCTGCCAACTGAGAAAATTTGGTGACCTCTGATATAATAATAATAATAATAATAATAATAATAATACCATCAAACATCCACATCTGCCTATCCCAGGTCCTGGGTAAGGACTCGATAGGTAGACAAAATGCCAAATCCAGTCTGAACATCTGGCTGACTGCAATGATCCATAATAATAATAATAATAATAATAATAATAATAATAATAAAGTTGGAAGGGACCTTGGAGGTCCTCTAGTCCAGCCCCCTGCTCAGGCAGGAAGCCCTATACCATTTTGGACAAATGGCTGTCCAGTCTCTTCTTAAAAACTTCCAGTGTTGGAGCATTCACCGCTTCTGGAGGCAGGCTGTTCCACTGGTTAATTATTCTCACTGTCAGGAAGTTTCTCCTTAGTTCCAGGTTGCTTCTTTCCTTGATGAGTTTCCATCCGTTGCTTCTTGTCCCGCCTTCAGGCGCCTTGGAGAATATGGGTTTGTGTCTGTGGGTATGGCATGTGTATATGTGTGTTGTGTATGGTTTGGGGTGGATATATTCCTCCTTCCGTTATATATTCAAGATGGACAGTATTTAATATTTATTTGTTACGTGTATGTAGGGGTGTGGGTCTATACATATGTTGTATATAGTATGTTTTAGGTGTGTGTCATGTATGTGTTTCACTTTGAGAGCGGGCAACTAAATTTCATTTTTTGATGGGTGCCATTGTGCCCAGTAAAAAAAAAAAATGACAATAAAGGTTGTCTTATCCTGTTTTATCTTATCTTATATATACGTTCTTTTGAGAGCAGGCAACGGAATTTCATTTGAATGTGGGCCAGTCTGCTCACAGTAAAAAAAAAAAACGACAATAAAGTTTATTTATCTCATCTAATTAAAAAAGTATCCTACGGTCGTCACTTTCTCTGTCTCTCCTTTCGGTTTCAGAGAGGGCAGGTAGTCCTCGCCTTACGGCCACAATTGCTAACAAGACAGATGTGAAGTGAACTTTTGCC